TCATGATTGGGATCAACGACGCTCTCATGCGTGGTCTTCGTTTCACAACATCCATACAAGTAGAACATGGTGACCTGGCATATGATTCTATATTCACCCCAAAGAAACCAAAACGGCCCGGTCCTGCAAGACATCCTTCTGTGAAACACTTCTCATGGCCTCCACGATGGCCACAGATGGTGAGGATGGCGCTTCATCACGAGCAGGTGAATCATCCTGGCCGGTCGGGGGGCGACATCCTTCACGACACAACCGATATCGTCCACGACTCGAAAGAAAGCCATTAAAGCGACTCTGAAAAGCGGAATGAACCGAACCTGCCTGAAAGAAAGGGGATGTAATGATGTGACTGCTTTGAAAGTCGAAACTAACATGCAAACTGGCAAACCACAATCTTCCAAACCAAAACCAGATCTGGTACTTCCATGCTAGCTGCTAGTTCAGGAACTCATGACTATCAGTAGCATACTTGAATTGGTCCTTCTTTGAGGAACGATCCACGTTTTTCCCCTCGCTCCACACCGCCCAGCGCTCAGCCCGGCCGCCGGCCTCGGCGTCCCCTCGAGCGCCGCGGCCGCCACCGGCGTCGACGTGCGACGCCGCCTGTGGCGTGGAAGGTGAAGTGGATGGGCCCCGGAAGGCTCGGGCGTGGAGGAGGGGAGTGCATCTCCCAAAAAGAAGATGTGTAAAAACATTATATATCAGAAAAATGAGATCAAAAAGAAAGCTCCTAATGTTTTCCTTGGATCAATAAAGTACCCCAGAATAGTGACCTTTTTTCCTGCACAGATTAATAAAGGCCCCCAGAATAATGTCTTTTTTTTTTGGGAGGGGTAGTTGTAGTGAGATATTTGTTATTGTTATAGTTTACTTTTTCCCTTCTGAGTATTGCCAGAGTAGCTCCAGAGGTAGCTAGCTAAGGATTCCTTATGTATTTATCAATTGATTGTTTTTCTATCATATTGTTCTGGAGTCTCAATTGTTGGAGGGGGGGGGCCGGTGGGGGGGGTTATTAATCAAGAGTCAACATTACTGTTGGACCTTGGCTTCACTTCTTATCGTTTCAGCGGAACCCAACCCAAAAAGCCGTGCTTCGAGGATGAAACACCTGACCTCATCAAAGGCGGCCATCAGCTGCTCCAAGGCCCTAGCAGCTGCCTGACCAAGAAAGACCACTGGCGATACCTGTCCTCAAGATGATAGAGATCCAAAGGCCTAGTCTAGTACAATAAGATAAGAACTGGGAAGTAGAAGTAGAAGTTGTAGAAGTGATACTAGTTACTGGTTGTTGTTGCCGTTCTGGAAAAAATCACACAAACAGAAGTAAAATCAAGGCCTCCGTCAGAGCAGCTTGCCCACCCCTCCGGGCGCCAGCCAAGTCCGCCCTGCCAACACATGTGACTCGTTGCCCGCGCTGCGCCACCGCACCCGTGCAGACGACGGCCGCATCGCATCCGTTCCACCTCGCGGCGGCCACGGCCTCTGCCGCTGACAGGACTTTGCCACGCAGAACCGACAGCCTGACGAGGGCGAACGTAGCGATGGCTTCTAAGCTACTAGCGATGGCCTCCACCCTAATGTAGACTCTTGATTCATAAACCCCCTTTTGAAGAGGAGGTTGATAATCCAGATAGTTATGAGTTTCATGTTCTAGCCACCGGCCACTGTCCAGGGCATCAAACCATTACAGTAACCGTTCCGAACTGTACGCGCTTTTGATCGCAGTTGAGCAGATGTTCGGCACATCCTCCACAGCCAAAGCGACCTTTACTACGGTTTCTCAGTTCGTTATCAACCAAGTATATAGATAGTATCGTACAGGGCACATATTTACACACACACCACATAAGAAAGCCCACGGGGATTTGGTCAAAAGGTTAGCAGTTTTGTGGGATTCAACCCAGTTTCAGATCGTTAAAATTGCCTCCCATATGGATATTCGCTGTGAAAAAAATACATCCGAAGCATGGCATATTGAAGGTAATGACCATGCCGACCGGGCTGCTGGCTCAGCCCGCAAAGCCGACGATTTAGAATTTGCCACTCTCTGCTCAGAAGTACGTACTCATTGGACTGAGTCTCAAGACATTTTCACTCAGATTTATCAATATCTGTTGGCCATTGCATAAACACTCGCATGGAAGGCACCCCTCAGGGGAATCCTAGAACACCAGCGCAAAGCAACTCGCACGCGCCGGTCTTCGCTCCAATTCATGCAAACCCGATTCATGCACAGATTCAGAAACTCAAGCGGTGGCGTGTTAGGGGCAACTCTTACACGCTTCCTGATGAGCCGCGTCGAGTTGTTTTTTGGTGTAGCACTTGGGGAGTTAATTTGACTTACAGTACATGGTTTGGAAGTACTGTCTCAGCCTAGTCTGGCCGGACCATGTAACCCCCGTCACCCCCGGCGACCCGGGCATTTCTTGGCCCGAGCTTGTTATCTCTTTCATGCTATGGTCCCATAAGATGATGCCGGTCAGCATCAAAGAAGGAAAAAGTTATTTGACTCTGGCATACGATGATCCCAAAGTCCAACTTTTGCCCGTTAAATCTAAGTCACTTAGGGTCCTTGCTGAAAATTTTCGGTGGATTGTTAAGCACATACATACAGGCATGTTCCCGTTCCAAACTTTTTCCATGTTAAGAAGCAAGGCACATCTAGTTTGACTAGGCTAGGTTTTACATCATACCACGAAGGTGGCATTTCCCGACGTCCAACCTTGCCAAACTCAGAAGAAACATACGACTATGTCCATAAAATGTTGATGGCGATGCCACATGACCCTACCATACAGAGATTTTGGCACCAAAGTTGCCCGCTAGCGTACATCCCCCAGAATGGCCACAGTGGCCTGAAGTTCCAAAAGAAAAACAAGACGCATGTTTGCAACATGTGCGATAGGCTTTGCTCCGAGGAAAAGACTTCAATAGTATTTCGCATCCGACTGCCTCCTGAATTAGATGCTTGAATTAGTATTCTGCGTCGGAGCCTTGAAGTACGGCTGGTTGTCTTTTCAGATGTTCGTTCGTCCCAGAGCCATGATGCCGTTCGTTTGTACATTGACAGGGGTGTTTCCATTTCTAGCTCGGACTTTTTCACCCATGACATCCACCAGTACCCGTCACACAATGTGACAACGGATTGAGTGGAAGCGGATACGGACCGCAAGTGCGTGCATTCAAATGGGGGGGTGTATTACTCAAGAGTCTACATTAGTAGCGATGCAACAACCGTTCTTTGTAGGAAAGTTTCAGCGTTGCGATGGCGGAAGCATCTTCCCAGCCTGGCGACGGTGCGCTGCACCACTTGATGACAAGCTTCTCTCTTCATAACCTCGACTTTTGGCATTCGGAGGAAAGCCGTGGAGAGCAAACAAATCTCAAGGGACTTCGGTACTGAGGGAACACCGTTCTCCCCTCCACCATCACCGTCGCTTCCAACTCTCCGAGGCACCGGGCCGTTCCGGCGCCTTTGACCAAACGGTTCTCCATGTCCTTGGCCGCCTGTGAAGTGTGTGAATCGAATCAACCAGCGCGGCGTCGAGCGTTTCGAAGGACGGGCCTCGAGATTGCGCTCCAAGGCCTCCGAGGCCTGTTCAATGTCAAACCTGGCGCGGAGACCAAAGGCGCCGTGGAAGGCGGAGACCAAAGGCCAGTGCGGTAGATCCACAAACGGTGCACCATCCAGTGGTTCACGAATAGGACAGGTTTGGGGAGACCCACCGAAGACTCCCCGCAACTCCACCAGACCTATGAAAACCCGTGTCGTTTCGGCGTCGACGACCCAAAACACATCAGCGCAGAAGCGCGCGCGTTGCGCTGCGTGAGATGCGCGCCTGGTCTGCTCGGGCCTGATCGAACCTGCGTTGAAACTGGTCTGCTCGGGTCTCCACCAAAGAATGCGAAATGTGCCCAACTCTGAGCCCTGGGCTGCCCCTGCTACGCTTCAGCCATAGTACAGCAGCCACTCTGGCTGCCAGGACCTGTCAGGTGCAGAACCGAATGCTGGTCTCAGGGTTAGATGTCTGTTGGGCTTGCAAAATTATACATATATATATATAACACACATACTGTAAGCGTCTATATAATATGCTGTCTGTGTGTCTGTGTGTCTGTGTGCCGAACCTTCTCACAATGCCAATGCCGTCGGCTTTCGGTCGATGATCTTTTCTACTTCGCAGCTGCCTCATATTCGTCCCACCCAATCGGATCTGTCAGCAACGGGTGCGGACCGTACTTGGTCAAATAGCCAAAGACATCTTTAGTTCTGCCTCCCTTCTCAATGATGTAGTCATAATATCCACGGTAAGTCTTACCCTTGGTGCTGTCGTAGAAGGGGTCTTCCTCGCCACGCAGCCAACGCACACCCGGATCTTGTATCACAGGCCCATTGCGAGCATACGAGTCTCCTGGCTTTCGCCAGGTTCCCAGCTTTTCTTTTCCGTCCACAATCTCCGGCATCCGCTGCACCGTGAAACCGATGTGCGCCTCTGGCAGTCGGCCTCGCTCAAAGCCGGTGTTGGGCCGAAACTCCTGCTGATCCTCGTCCCAGTATTTGCCAATGCTTCGAATGCTTAGGTCAAAAGAATGCGGTTTCATATCATCTTTGGCCACGCACGGCTTGTAGAAGGAATCTGCAAAGTTTTCAGGCTGACTGAACTTCTTCAAGCGAGTCTTCCCCGCCAAATTCACGATTGGATCCAAAAGTGGTAGCTTGTAGTCAGCATCCCAATAGACAATCCCGGTGGTCTGGTCTTCCAAATGTACATGCACCTTCTGAATTCCACCAAAGATGGGTGGGAGTGCATTGAAGGTAATCTCTGGGTGCATCAAAGACTTTTCGCCTTTGCCCTCCTTGTCGGGCTTTCGACACCCATAGACTGACCCCATAAACGGCTGCTCTTGCCCGATGTCCGTCGCGTAAATCTCGGGCGTCTGGAACAGCAAGCGGATCTTGACCTTGGGCGAGAGCCGCGGCGTTTTGGCCAGGTCCTCGGGCTTGGGAGGACGCCACTTCTTGACAAAGGAGCTCGGGAGTGGCTCAGCGTGCCCCAGGAAGGCGCTGGCCGCCAGACGGCGGTCTCCGCCCGGTCCGCGCAGACCGGGCCGGACAAAGACATCGACCGTGGCGGGGCCGCAGTGACTCGGTCCATCGAGCCAGTGGTTCCACCGGCGGAACGGCGGACAGGTGGGCCCAGGATCCACGGCATCCGTGGGCCAAGGACTGGCACTCGGACTCCAGCAATGCTTCATGGCAGGTGATGCAAATCCGATGGGTTCGTCCCCCGATGTTCTTCTATGTTCTGCTTGCTCCTAGTGTCGCTGCATGAGGGCTAAGGAAGCAAGTCATAGAAATCATAGACGCCACAGCTGCATGTTAGAACTTAGAACTTTCCCTGGCACTAACTCCCCCCAAATCCAATGGAAATCCTCAAAAGAACGCGTTCAGCGCACTACTTCAGTGCACACATGGAGACAAGGCTCCCAGTTATTGTTTAATGCGATATATAATATATCCCGCAGCCTGATCTTTGGGCCACTGCATGAAAAGATATGCACTGAGTCAATCTGCATCAAATGTTGAACTGATCTTGCGCTCCAAGGAATAGAAACATTGTGTGTGTGGAGCCAGTGGTTCAAAGACTGCATGTGGCGCCTACAAAAAGGCTACTGGTGGGTTGACAGAACCAGTGCCCAACTGTTTTGGGCCATAGGGCCATAGGGTTCTTCATCCAGCTCAGGGAACGAATCACACATCGAACGAATCACAGAGGAACCGGTCGCCCAATCGCCAAGCCTTGCTTTGGCCGTCCAGGACTTCACGGGTCATGGCTTTAAAGCGCAAGCGCTCCTGGCTCCACTCGAGGTCCACTGATTGTTTGATCGGTGAATGCTGTTGCCAGCACTTTGCAAGGGTATGCTTTCAACGCATCCGTGGTTAAAGCGCTGTGCTTTTGAAAAAATTGCAGTGGTTGCAATGCCTACAGGTCCAGTCTAACCCAATTAAAACCTGGTCCCTTTACCTTTACCTCATTGAATAGTTTTTTTGGGGTGGTTATGGCCCAATCCATAGGGAACGTGTTTTCCAACTGGCTGGTGGCAGGCCGCCAACAACCGCAACAAATGCCAAGTTCAAGAAGAACATAGAAGAACTGTGTGACTCTGTGACCCGGTGGTCCAGGACGCTCCCTTCAGCGACGGATCAGGTGTCTTTCTTCTCAGAGGCCATCCCTGCAGTGCTCCCTGCTTCGGCTTCGCCCCGGTCCTCTTCCTTTTGGCGCACCTGTTCGGTGGCATCCTCCAGCCACTCGCACCTGAGATCGGCCCCGCCCGTTGGGAAGCCTTCCAAGTTTGGCATGAAGACTCATGGAGCGTGCTGACCCATAAAAAACCATGGACTAGATAGATACGAGTATTAGATAGATAGTCGGAATAGTCGGAACTGGACCCATGCGATGCTTTTTTCGCTAAGCCTTTGTTCCTTCTTCGCCCAAGGCCGGCGCAAGGCCTCGATGCTGGGAATCGCGGCCGCCACGTGGCGTCGGAACTGCAGCACCTGCGGGCGGACCGGGCTGCGGGTGCTCCGGTGGGTCACCCGAACGGGTGGGTCTGGCAGACCACGGTGTAGACCCGAAGGAAGGTTCACTTGGACCGGAAAACGCTGCAAAATGGTGCAACTGCCACAACTCATCTCATCAAATATCCAACATGCCACGCATTGCCACGCATCCCGCCCGGCACCAGTCCCATCATCCACCGAAGCTCGTGATGCGGCAGCTCGTGGCGTCAGTCCGCTCGCTCCCTCAGATCCACCTGCTTGAGTGCCTGAGCCAAATCCTTGGTCCTGGCGGGGCGAGATGGAGGCTTAAAATCTGTTCTTTTGGTATGTCTTATCCCTCACAGGGCCTTACATCTTGGGAATTAATGGTTATCATCTTTTCCATTCCGCAAAACAAGACTTCCGCCAACGCACCGCCCGCGGAGGCGTCCCGTGTGCTCCCGGCACCCGCGGAGGCCTCAAGTGCTTCTGCGCTTCAAAAGCGCCTTCCACCGAGGTCCGCAGCTCGGGCCAGGCAGCCTCGAGGTGTCCGGGATACGGTCGGTCGAGAGCGTCCGGTGTTCAGTGCAGGTGGAGGTGCCACTCAGCAAGGCACGCGCAGCTGCTCCAAGACCTTGACCATCTCCTGGTTAAGGCATTTTTCGAGATTCGACTCGAAGAACGTCACGGAAAAACAGCCGTGCACTCTTTTCAGCCTTCAGCTCACCGTCCAAACGCCGGCCGGCCTCACGGAGCAGGCGAAAATTGCAACCAGTGCAGTGGGAAAATGGACCGAAAGGCCGGCCAACCAAAAGAAAACCCGGCAGCTTGGAGCTTTCTGACCGCACCGTCGTAAAACAAGCAATAGGTCCTACTGTAGGTCCTTTTGTGCTGGGCTCCTGCAAAGCTTTGGCAGGGCCGTGCTCCAAGTCATCCAGCCTCGGCGCGGGCTCGGAAGGGATTGGACTTGGACCCTTGGACCCTTTTCAGCCCTTTTTTTGGACGCCGTCAACCACCAAAAAGATTTGAGTCGTATCCATCATTTGGGGAATCATTCCGTGGCGCTACGAGGTCATGTTTCACTAGACCACTGAGCTTATGAAGCCATCACGTCGCCGCACATGTCTGCACCGAGACCCCTGGCAAGGTTCCCAAATACGCCGCATTCTCAGCTGGCTCAGTCGGTGCAGCGAAAACCGCCTGAGGATGAGGAGGACAAATCCCCCACAACCAAACCATCCTGACTGGGGAACTTGGTTGAGGAGTAAATCAGGCAACCGTGTCTGACGAGCCTGTGGCGCTGATGTCTGCACAGCATCAGGCGTGGCGACCCCCAACGAGGACAGGAATTCACTGCAGCAGCTGCATCAGTTTTCAAGGATGGGTTAAGGAAGCTGGGTCAGAATCAAGAAGCTACCGGGGGATTGTTCAAAGACTAAGGACCAGAAATTGGAGTTGCAGGTCAGAGCGCAATCACTGAACAACTCAGTCTCCGACCTGAAAACACCCGACCTGAGAAGAATTGGCAACATTGAGAAGTGCGGCTGCTGGAGTGGAGCGCTGTTCCCCCCCAAGGGCTCCATCACGGAGTTTGCCCTTAAGCGGCCAAACGTTCCAGTATCCATCGGGACCTGCTCTTTAAAGCCTGACACGGGCGGTCTTGAAACTGCTGAAGCAGTGCTTCCTCATCCAACTCCACATGTGCTGCCTGATCCGCGCAAATCAGCACGAAGGGTAGCTGTTAGCTTGCTGACCCTGCAAAGGTCAGCAACTTGAACTTGGCCAGCGCAGACTGCCGGACGCTCAACCAACCCACCTGCTGCACACCTCCGGAAGGACCTGTCCATATTCCTGCGATGTTCGTTGCTCGGGATCCTGCATGCCCCTGCATGAACAAAAGTTTAACTCACGCCAAAGTCCTCACAGGCAAGAGAATGCTCATCGATCAGGCGCAGGAGCTCCTCCAACAAAGGTTCATCTTCCTCTTCAGCCCTTCGACTGCTACCGAATCTACTGCTACCCCTTCGACTGCAAGACAAACATCTCTCTCTCTCTCTCTCTCTGTGGATCTTGTTGCCTGGATCACACCACCGTCCTTGCCAGGCACACTTCGGGCGGTGCGGAAGGCTTGCAGCATCGCTAAGGTGCTATTCTCCACCTCCTTCTCGGAGCCTCGGGACAGCTGCGCCGGCTCGGTGCCCCCCTACCGTCGCGGGTGCCCCGGCGTCGGGTGGGGCACGGAGGCGGGGAAGTCGTCGAGGAAGCCACAGCCTCAGTCGGAGTGATGGAAATAATGAAGGGAGGTGAGAACATAGTGGAGGAAAAGTGGCGGATTGGGTAGACTCCGGGGATTTGTGGGATGGGGCTGTGGGATGACACGGCAGAATGTGTCTGGACCAGTTTCCGATGAGTTCACTTGCTTTAGCACGCACTCCGAAGAATCTCGTGACGCGAAGCACGCCAAACCAAGCCCTCAGACGGCCGGTGCTTGTCCCTCGTCCGGCTGCATGCCATTGGTGTTTGCATGGCCTCACACCATGGCCTCACAAGTCGCTACGAACGGAGCGATCGGACGCTACGAACGGGCCTCCTGGCCGTACTACTAGGAGCCGCTACGAACGGAGCGGTCAGGGCATCGCTACGAACGGAGGCTCCTCGCAAGTCGCCGTCGGAGTCGCTGTCGTTTCGCCTTCACGGTCGCGCGCCTCGAATCCCTTCGATCCAGGCGATCCAGGCGCGAGCGACCGGCAATAAAGGCGATCTCAACCGCGGTCGGCGGCGGAACGGCGGTCAGAAGAACGTACAGACCAAGGAGACATATATACATACCAAACATATCCAAACATGCCATATATATATATAATATATTGGTGTGTATATATATATATATATGCTATACTCCAACAGTCACCCCACATGATTCATGAATCTCCGAATGGCACAGCGAAGTCCTGTCGATTTTCCAGATGGCGCTGCGCTCCGTGGCAGGAGCTATTTGCTCGGCTTGAAGCACGGAAGGAGCTGCCATCACTTGGCCTTGCCCTTGCCTTTGTCCTTGCCTCTGCCTCAGAGATGAATCAACTCTGTGGACATAGATCTCAACAATTCAATCTCCGCAGATTTGAACTCCAGTCAGCATCACTTTCGCATGAAACTTCAGGCAAGTGTCCCTTTCCTTTTCGCGCGCCTCTGTCCTTGGCTGGTCAGCACCCTGTTGCACCATGTTGTTGGTTGTCAATGTTTCACTGGGGCAGAGTGCAACACAGGGGGCGGCCCAGCGACCAATTTTCAGATCTCTCGACGTTCTCCCTAAAACTGGCCCCATCCCTAATATGGCTGTGGGTCACATATTCGTAGTTATCCTGGTAGTTGGCCATGTCCAGTAGTCAATTCTATTCGGTTCATGTTCGGCGGTCAGCCATATTCCCCCGTTCTTGACCCACGGCCATATCACTTTGCAGTTGGCTGAGATGTTCGTTCTGTGGATGCAGGTCAAGTGAGGTTCCACAACAAATACGGCGTGCGACCAAAAGGCATGGTAGCTACCTTTTGTCACACCACTGTCATCTTCACCATCTTCCTCTTCGTCATCCTCGTCGTCATCTTCAGTGGCACCCCGCTTGCCTGAACAGGAGTCAGCAAAGCCTGGCCCATCAAGAAAACAGTTGTATAAAGTTGTATACAGTAAATCAGTAAACCGAGTAGGCTATGAATGCTATGATCCTTATGCTGGCGGCGACAGCCAAAACAAGCTCAATTTCACTAAGACCAGCTGCCTCCTTTTCCTGGCACTTTTCCCTTGCCTTTTCCCTTCATCTTGCCCTTGGCAAGACTCGGACCTTCCTGATCGTCATCCTCGCTCTCATCCTCATCCGAATCATCTCCCCCTTTTGACTTTGACTTCCCTTTGAATTTCCCTTTGCCTTTGCCTTTCGGGGCAGCTGGCAGGTCATCATCTTCTTCGTCCTCCTCCTCATCCTCTTCCTCCTCGTCCTCCAGCTCATCATCGTCCTCAACCTCCTCTTCCTCCTCTTCTTCTTGCAATTCCTCCTCTTCCTATCGCAAGGTGAGAGTTGCAACCCCGTTCCCCTGACAGAATCGCAAAAAAAAGCAAAAAGAAGCTTAGAATTAGAAGCTTCTGCGTTCTACATCCATGATTCCAAAGTTTATTTGGCCACTTCGCACGGCTCATGATGTAGAATTCCAAGTCGATGAAGTGTGGCCAAGAAATGAAAGTGCATGGTCTACTTAGTATAGTCCTCCCAAAAATAATGGAAGTGGATGGCAACAGCTGTTTGCGGAGGAAAATTGTCATCAAAAGGATCATTTTCCAGTGTCATGATTGCTTCAGGAGTGTAGTCTTCCAGGAGGCTACTAACCAATTCCAGGATAGAATAGGTCCTAGGTGCATGGGGTAATGTTTCCCCTCACAGTGAGGGCCTCACTGAAGAAAAGTTGTAAAGTCTTTTTGGAAGGAACTTGCTGACAACACACCATAGGGCACCTGACACCACACTGCAACGTGCAGGGCCAACGTGCTTAACAATGCTCGCACAAGAGTCCAGTCCTCTTCAGCTGCTTCTTCATGCAAATGCTCTTCATCTGTGTACGGATCCACGTCATCCTCGCCATCGGCCTCGGCATCCGCGTCCGCATCCGCATCTGCCTCCGCATCTGCCTCCGCATCTGCATGCCAGTCCTCGTCTTCCGCATCTTCAGCCTGGTTCTCCACCTCCTCATCCTCCATCCCTTCGTCTTCATCGTCCTTCTTTTCTTCCAAATCTTCTTCGCCTGGTTCGTGGTCCTCCTCCTCACCGTCCTCATGACCGGTAGGCTCCGGCCAGTCCTCGTCTTCCTGGTCTTCATGATGGGCATCTTCTTCCTGATGACCGGTAGGCTCGGATCTTCCATCTAACTCATCTTCTTCATCTTCCAGCTCCTCATCCTCCTCCTCAGAATCTTCGCCTCCTTTCTTCCCCTTCCTCGCTTTGGATTTGCTTTTCCCTTTGCTTTTTCCCTTACCTTTTCGCTTCGCAATGTCGTCCTCTTCATCCTCTTCCTCCTCTTCATCCTCTTCGTCCTCTTCTTCGTCTGCTTCCTCGTCTGCTTCCTCTTCCTCCTCTTCCTCTTCCTCCTCTCCCTCTTCATCCTCCTCCTCTTCTTCTTCCTCCGCCTCTTCCTGGGCTTCCTCTTCTTCCCCTTCACCATAGTGCTCCTCCCAATCATCTGCGGATTTGTCGAGCTGATCCTCGTTCCTCAAATCAGCCTGTTCCTTTCCTTCTGCGTCTTCATTTCCCCGTGTGGCTGGTGCAGGGGTATCCATAGCACTTCCAGGTCTCTGGTGGGTTTCCTCTGCACCCAGTCGATCTTCCGACGAAACGTTGCCACCTTTTCCTTTGCTGGCTCTGTTGGCTTCAGGCGAACTGTCTTCAGAGCCCTTCGGCATTCTCTTTGATCCGGAGCCCTTTCCTTGCGCAACATCTCGTTGATCTGGGGCTTGATCGCTGGTGTCGGCGTCTTGTGCACCTTGACCTCTCCAATTCTCATTTCTCCAATTCGAGAAATCGCGAGGCTCCTCCCTCCAACTTGAGGAGCTCCAGCCGCTCCAGCCCCGATCCGTCCAGCTATCCCATCGATTTGAAGGCTGCGACCTGAGAACTGGCAATCCCCACCTGGCCACCCGGGCCGCGCCCTGAACCCTAAAAAGTCTACAAGCTCTTTGCTTGGTATCCCATGGATTTGAGGAGTGCGGCATGAATCATTCCAATTGCACCTCTAGGTTCCAAAGGCCATCAGCTTATGAAGGATGAAGAAGGAGCGCCAAAAATGAACCACTGCAACCACATGCACATGGCAAAAAAAAGCTGCAGACTAGGCGGACTCAGGGGGCCAGGATGTGAGCACACTTGAAGTTTCCGGCGTAAATACCCAATTTCTACTCAAGTTTACCCTACAGCTCCTGGATAGTGGCTGCAAAAGACATTCCAACCCCCGGTCCAAACACTCGCTCAGTCAGGAGACCAATCGCTCCATTGTGAGTTTCTTCCTCTAGGGCGACCCATGGCCGGACATCGCGGAAAACTTTCGAGCGAAGGGACGAGATCTGAAAATCTCTTCTGCCTGCGTGACTCACATCAAGCTGCACTAGAACCCAGCACTCTACTGCCGTGTTCGCTGGAAGCTGTCATGTATTCTGAGTCAGTCGAGATCAACAAGTCATACATGGGACATCCAACTTGCTGTAAATCCTCTACCTTTCTGTTCTGTCAAGCCAAGCTGGCTGGTGTGACGATGGATTTGTTCTAGTCATCTGTCCAATTGTGGTCATGACGGTGGCGGCAAAAACACAGAAATGCCGAAGACGGAAATTAAAGTTCAAAAAAGAGGCAAAGGAGGTGAATCCATCTGTGCCCATTGCTGAGCCACGTATGCGCAAATGTCACCTTGTGAGACAGAAGTTCAAACCCCTTTTTCTTGACGACCGCGGTCTCATGCCAACAGCCCATTGCTCTTCCATTGGCAGTGATATCACAGGCGATGGGCCGATGGACCCCATAGTGCCATAGTGGCTCCTGAAAGGGTCAAAAGGCCACGTCTGGCGCGCTACGCGCCAGGTGCGGGTGGGGGTGCAAGGTCTGAAGCACTCCTCCCCTCAGCGCCGGTGTCTCGCTCGGCCAGAGCCCCTTCTCTTCCGGTCTCGGGCTCCGCCGTGCCGGCGCCGCCTGGCACCGAACCGACAGCGATGGGAGCAGCGGCGAGGGGGGGAGCGGCTCAAAGCCGCAGCTGGCGCCTGCTTCTGCTGCGGTGGCCTATCCATCAACTGTGCACATCGCGAGGGCATCCAATGGCATATGACGAAATCGTTCGTGACTGGCCTCCTCCTCGTCTGCCTGAAGACATCAACTCCCATGCTCATCGGCATCTGTGACAAATTCATGCTAAGCGCCGTCGAGCACCCCCTCTGTCTGCAATCCGTAATCCTCTGAAAAATGATCCTCCAACTCTCCCAAAATCCCTTCCTTGCTCTCCGCAGCTCTCCACCGGTTTCAGAGGAGATGGCGCAAACCCCTACATGCCTTCTAGATGGGGTCCATATAAACCACCTTTTGGGGATTGTGCCATCTGTTTCTCCCCAGTACACCTATTTTTTTCTCCAACTCAATGTCTCACTCTTGCTGGCAGCAGGCTAGCACCTCGTCCACGGTCGTCACTTTTGCTGTCGTCCTCATAGTCACCTAAAAGCAATAGAGAGATGCAAGCATGCAAGCAGCTTGTATAGTATAGAAGCTGCTTGAAAGCAAATGTAAAAAGCTTCAAAAAAGACTGACCTTCTTCGCGACTTCCAAACCCTCACAGACTCTCTGAGACTTCAAGCTGTAATCGTAGTCGCTGTAGTAGTCACTGGGCGACTCACGTCCTAAGGACATCATCCAATGATCCCAACGACTGCCCCGCGCCCTAGACCCTTTCGCACCGCAAAAACCACTGAAACTTAAAAAAAGGAGTCTGCGATCTGTGTTCAGAAACCTGAGAGGGCGCAAGGCCGTAAAACGAGTTGAACTCTTGCCCCACTGAACTCAACTCTGGGGCGACCACTGGCCTTCCGGCCTCCAAAAAGACACAAAAAAAGGCGCTGCGAGGTAGCTGGGGGTGAACGAACATGATGAAACCCCTGGGTGCGGACTCCCAACATCAGCTGCAGTCTTGAAGTTCTGTTCCAGTCCAGCTTCACATGGCGGTCCAAATATTCAGATGATTCAGAGCCGGATGTATGCACTCTCACAGCTCATTGGGGTCACCGGCCACGTCGCTTGTTTTTGCCAGCATCCTGCGTCGTGCGTTGTCGTCTGGGACCAGCACGCGACCGGCGCTGGTCCGCGTTCCTGGCCTCCAGGACGGTGATTTCACAGGCTTCCGATCGGGCTTTTCCTTGGAAGGCAAGAGCTCGTTCGGTGGTTTTGCTTGGAGAGGTCTTGGATGGTCTTTGCTTCTTCTCCGTCCAGTCCGCTCGAGAACAACCAGCCAATCGACGGCGATTCGACTTGTGCATGCTTTCCGACGCCCAAGAGCATGCCTGAGCATGCTAAATTTCATGCCTGAGCTTGATGCCCATCCTGTCATCCTTCTCCCGGAATTGAACCTCGGAAGTGGCACTGCACGCGTCGGGTGCTCGTGATTTGGGGTCACACCGTATGCCGGTGCCCGAGACCTCGCGTCGTGTAAAGGGTCGCTGAAGAGCTGAGCCCCTGGACACGATCGCCACTGTTCAGCATACCTGCCTGCCACTCTTCAGCAAATCGGCCAATCTTGGAGGCTTCAAGGAAAGGATTGATTCCTTTTTAGGAATCCCCGCTAAAATTTAGGGGGTGGGTTCGTAGAGACAATTCTCTCGGTGGTGATTTTAGGATAAAATCATGCAGCGCATCCTGCCTCCCGCGCGTGCACAAAAATGTCAGGGCCTCGAAAGTGTCAGGAAAACCTTCCTGAAAACCCAGGAAAACCTTGAAAGTCTTTGCGCCGTACCGCCGTCGTCAGGTGAGATAAAGCCAAACCTCAGCTTTCCGGTCACAAATAGTTAACACTGTAACACCTCTCAGAGCAAAACTGAGACTTTCACCCCTTGCCCTCAACCCAGCGGACAACCTGAGAGTGTGTAATCTACATCAATCAATGGCTAGGCTCCCGCTCTAGCTCTCTCTATCTCTCTCTCTCTCTCTCTCTATCTCTCTCTCCTTTGAGTCTGCGACACGACCTGTCTTGAACTCCGATTTTCCCATTGCATCTTCAATTAGCTTTGCATAAGAGATCAGAAGAAGGAGATCAGAAGAAGTATGACATGAGTCATGAGCTGGCTTGCTGCTTAACTTCGGGTCTCACTGAAGTGCATCAAACAACACTTTTGGAAATGCCTTTGCATACCTTGAACCACACCTTGCCAATTTGTGTCTGCCATTCCTGTCGAGCGCAAATCATGGGGCATGCTGGGGAGGGAAGTCCACTCATTCATTCAAGCACTGTCTGCCATCAATCGGTCCGTTCATTTTTAGCATGCACAGGTTCCTGCTGGGCGACGAGCACTTCGCATCCGCCACTGACAAAAGTTGACAGATTGAACGGAAATCATAAGAACCAACCGCGTTCGCTGGCCTCTGACAAAACGTCAGATGGCTTGCCCTTCTTCACAATCCATCTTGTCCTCGGCGTTGTCCACACAAGCTCCGCATATCCAGTGGCTAGTGCTATCATCTCAAACCCACTACTGACAGTGGCCTCCCATTCTTCTCGTGCATATCGCTTGCCGGATAACTGTGCACGAGCTATGCCGCAACTTTCTACAACGCTCCGATCCCCAAGAACCATTACGACATGATTCTTGTAGCCATGTCGGTGTAGGCTGCGTAGCCAAGCTGCACACTCCGACAGCAAATAGCATGTATGTGGGATGACCACATTCAGTTTTCTGCGGGCAGCTTCTTGCAGAAGACGATGCTTCTGCTTCTGCAACTGCTGTCGCAAAGCGGGATAAGCCTGGCGCCATACACACTGCAGCTTGTAACCTTCAGCCACCACTGCCTGGTAACCCCCATGAGCGCTCCGAAAGGTGTGACCGTCCACCAGAACAGCATCAGTACTGCCTTGATTCATCGGAGATATGCCCAGATCCATCGCCACCTCCCTGGCCATGAAGGATTTCCCAGCCGCTGAGGGGCCCACGAGCCAAACAGCCATAGGCTCCTGTTGCCGCGTGGCCACTCCTAAACCGGCCTCTCTCTGGGCGACTTGAATTTCATCGCGATGGAACGAGCGGTGCAGCACCTGCCGAAGCTGCCGCGGCAGGTCGTAGCCCAAATCCTCGCAAACCCTGGGACCCTTTTGGAGTGCTCGGCGCAACTTTTGTCGCAGCAACAGCACCAGGCCACTAAGAATAAAAAGAATAAAAATGAAACCGAGAATTGAAAGCCTCTTCATTCACCATGGGCAGCAGCTGGCCGTGAAACAAACCAAATTCATGAAACCTCGAAGCCCAAAAGCGACGAGGGAGAAACCGAACTGAATGCAAACTGGCTCGGCTGTACAACGTTGCTACCATGGTAGGTTGACCTCCGTGACAACCTAGATCAACCAGCTTCGATTCCAGAGTCCTCACACAGTCCCAAAGGTTGCAAATGCCCAAAGTTTGGGGGAAACACCAAACACCCCTCCCTCACAAACCCGAAGGAACGGACTCTCTCTGAATCGTGCGAATGGGTCACTATGTCGTGTATGTCGTGGTGGGGGGTCGTCCAGTGCGACCCACGCGATGTTGCGTCTTCCGGTCGTGGGTCGTCCGAGTCGTCGGTCATCGGCACCCCGACAGGGAGACCCCATGGGTTGGGAAGGGAAGGGCCCTGTTGTAGGTTTCAATTGGTGACCTGGCAGGGAGGTGCTGGTCGATTTTTCTGTTCATTTCACATCATTTCACTAGACTCGTGATGCTGAGCCACTTCCTGATTAAGCTACCATCCGTAGCTGTGAATGTCACGAGAGTGTCTCAGCAGGGGCCTTGTGCCCCGCACGGGTCGCTCCAGCCATAAACGAGCATCCGCGATCCATGCGATCGAAAAAAACCAGCGATTCTAATCCCCTCCCCCAGGTCGCAGGACATCCTACGACAGGTGAAGCAACGCATCCATGATCAGCAAAGTCTGCTACGGCCGGTGACGGCTACGGCCTTGAAGGGGGAAAGGATTCTACCTCATCTTGCTTATGCCCTTCTCAACAGACAGGTGCGCTTTAAGCGCTTTCACAGGCTAACTCATGCAGCACTGCAGCCTGCCGGCGCTTCCGTCCATGGCGGCATCCAGAAGTGAGATAAAAGGAGCAGGCTACATGTACATGCCTATCGACGTGGCTGTGCATGGTCATGCGTAGGCAAGTCGGGATATTGCAGCTTCCTTCCTTCCTTCCTCCCTTCTCTTCCCTTCCCTTCTCTTCCGTTCTTCTCTTCCCTTCTTCTCTTCCCTTCCCTTCTCTTCCCTTCGCTTGCCTTCGCTTCTCTTCTCTTTCCTTCCTTTCCCTTCCTTTCCCTTTCTTTCCCTTTCTTTCCCTTCTTCCCACTTCCTCAGAGGGGATTCAAATAGTCAAACGCCTCTCGCTTCTCGCACCTGCTGTTGCACGAAAACATAGCCGCATCACGGAGTGGAAAAGCACGGAGAAACTTCTAGACATGCAGAAAACTCAGTCCGGCAATCTCATTGTGGCCCAGGGAGCAGTGGACCAGGCTGGAATCACATGGTCGACATGGTCGAAAGACTATCATAATTGAAGTTGGAAAAGGTTGAATCACAATGGATTTGCTGGTTTTGACCAATTGCTCCCTCGGGCTGCGTCTTGGACGGCATTGTCTTCATGCCAGTCAACTTGTCTCCAAACGCGCAAAGCTGGAGCGGGCGTAAAGTGAGCACCACCATGTTGTATGACAAAACTTGAACTCAAATTAATCAAAATTGGACCAAATGATAATAGCTAAGACCAGATCTGGCATCTGACCCCAACAAAAGTGTGTGCAATTGCAATAAGATATAGAAAAGTAAAGCGAATACTATTTTCTTGTCAAGACATGTTAGCCTTGGCTTTGTTCAAGGTGATGGAACAATCCTCCGTGGACTTCAGCTCACATCGCTCCAATTCGGGCGTTTTTGGGCCCAGAACAGTGGCGCTTCATTCTCACACGCGGAAGACACCGAACCTCAAGTTCTCTGCAGGACAGGCACTCACAAAAATGTGGAAAACAATAAGCACTCTGACAACAAACCAGGTTTCACAGGCCTGTCGCGGATACGCCTTTGGCGGCCCGCATGTGCCTGTTATGAAGATTGAAAAATCAATGTTCAGTTCAGGCCACCCAAAAGCAAAGAAAAATTCATGAGTTGTGCCGCAAGCCCCAGAAGACCCACCCACCCTAACCTGTCACCAATCCAAAGTCCAGCCTCACGGGACACGACAGCGAGCATCTCCCCATCTTGCTCGAAGCAAACGCGCCGCCTGAGAAACACGGCACCGAGCTCCCACGAGCTCCCGACGAGCTCACCGGGGACCCCCGTGACACGAGCTCCCCCACGCGTGGTGCGGTCCCGGTGGACTGGACGTCGGCGACGCCTGGGTCCGGGGGCCCCTGCGGGTCACCGGAAGCCCCTACACTGCTAAGGGACCTCCAGCCAGGACACCCCGAAAGAAAGTCCAGCTAATTGTATATGAGCATATGAGCATATATATCTATATATATCCATTTGTCGCAGAAGGCTATAGGTCTTTTCGGTCATGTCATTTCTGATGACCCTCGCAGACCTGCACCCTCGCTGGGCCCCGGACTCCAGCTTTGGGATAACCCATGTTCCGTCCCAGCAGCATTGGCCTTACAAATCAAAGGGGGCCTCCAAAAATGGACCTCGGACATCGACACTTGCCCTGTCAGCCTATCAGCTGATCTTTCTGCGTCCTTCTCCTTTGGCGATGGCCTCGGTGACTCCCACGTGTTCCGTGCGCCGTTCCTCCAACGCGTCTCGTTCCCCCGCGCGCCCACCGCGGTTTGAGCGGGCCACGCGGACTGAATGATCGCCTTCACCCCGAAGCGATCCTGCGGCGGACGACCCGGAGGTCTCGAAAAAGCCTTGTTTTTCCCGAAGAAGGACTGAATGACCGTAAAACCCCCCTCCGCCAGCGTCCGCGTTTCGGATGCGAAACATGTGCGCCTCGTGGGTGGAGGGAGTCTTCGGAGTCGTTGGAGTCTTGGGCGTCTTGGGGGTCTTTGGAGTCTTGGGCCTGAGAGGAACAGGAACAGAATGAAGAAACGGTCCATCACAGGTGGGAGATAGTAAGGCCCAACTGAGATCAAAGACACCGCAAGAAATCCAAGTAAATACTGCATGTGTCACATCATGGCAGGTCGCAGTTCTGCACGGGCTGAGATGCCACATGGCAGGTCAGTGCAGGCAGTGCACGCAGTGCACGGTGGTCTGTCCATTTTTGACCTACAATGGCTATGGGCAGGTTTTGACCCATCCCCTTTGGAACCCACCACCTGCGCCGAGGGTCTCAAACGACATTCTGCGGGTCCCCGGGCGACATTCCGCCCAGAGGGATTTCGACAAAAAAGGAGTTGTGTTTGTTGGACCTCACAGGCGAGGGCGTGAAGGAGAGCAGCACATTGCCATTCGGAAACATCCAGGATCCTTGCCCCTCTTGCTTGCCTTTTGGCGTCCGCTGGCCCAGCACCTGAGCGACGTGTAAAGAACCACAACAGCTGCACAACTGCATGAAATGCTCACTTCATCCACGGCTGCTCCAAGTCATTTAGGCACTTGCGGTTCGCCCTCTTTCACCCTCAATACATCCCAAAACACTCGGTTTTCCGGCCGCTGCGGCGGCCGCCGCGCTTCCGATTACACGGAGAGGCAGGGACCTCAGAATCCAGCATCCCACTCGGCCCGGGCATCTCGCCACGCCCGGCGTGGCATCGCGCCACGCCCTGCCGCTCGAAGCACTGAGCCAACGGCATGCTGAGTTCCAACAAGCGTGCGGCGGGTTTCAGTTCGGGTCCCAAAACTCCACTAAGCTGAGCCGATGCTGCGTGGTCCGAGAGCCTGGTTCGTGCAAACCAGGCCTGGCGGCCTGGCCGGTAATGAAAAAGAGAGCTAAGGCTAGGCCCCTCCAGAAGGGCATGAGAAGTTGCGCTTGTCACACAAGGCGCCCACCACAGGGCCACTGCGGGCCACAGAGGTTCTTTGACACTTGCATTCTGGAGGTTCCCGGCCCCTTCCACGTGCCAGTCATTCTCTGTGCAGATTCATCCCTCAGAAACTCGGCGACAGAACGTGTCCTCTAGTCAACTAAAGGCCAAGGTTAAGCCTATCTTTGCCGGCCAGGCAATGGAAAGTTGATTTTATACTGTTTTTTTCATTTAGATCTTCATTTAGATCTTCACTTTATATACAACATATGTTTGTTTTGTTTTAGTTTCTCTTGGGGTTATCATTTTGTGCATCATGTTCATCCTTCCAGAATTGATTGGCTTTGCTGTCACTTCCCATGGGCTTCCAAAATCACTTCGGTCACAGTCAGCGCCCCAAACTATAGATGCGTGAAGGGACTGCCTCACCCATCCCTTCCCGAGCAATCGAAACCAAGGATCAAAATCGTGGAATGCAACTTGCAAGCTGCTGAGCTAAACCACTGGGCCCCAAAAGCCTGAGCCTAGTGGCCTAGAAATTTGTCATACAGGGATGGGAGGTAAAACAGGTTAGTAAGGAGACGCCCTCGCCCTAGCCCTGAATGAAAACTAAACTACACATGAAATTGTCAGAAACAATGTAAGTAAACAATCATGACCCAAATGAAGACCAAAATGACAGATGAAAGAAAATGATTAACCAAATGAACACCACAATGACAAATGATTAAACAAAATAAGAAATAATCAAATGAAAACCAAAATGCCACACGAAAAAAAATGACTAAAAAAAAAGCAAACGCAACACAAAAAAATGGTTTTAAAACATAACATGGTTTGTTTGCTCAAATTGTTAATTTTCCTCGAGTGGTTTGTTAATTTAGTTGCGTTTTTTCCCGTTTTGGCTAGGTTCCGCCACAAATCAACGATAGTCAGGTCCGTTTCACAAAAGCTAAAGCAAAATAGAAGGAAATGCGCAACTTACCAGCAAAGAAGGTTCAGGACTAGCTGACTTGGCCGCCTTTCCTCAGGGGAGGCTATTGCAATTGAGCTCCAGCATTCTTTTGCCTTTCATGATCGTTTTGGTTAGTTTCGGCCGGCCACAAATTGTCAACATTCATGTAGTTTGCTGTGTTCATGTTGTTTTAAGTTCAGATAGTTTCGGCAACGCGTGAACGACAGTTAAGTGCATTTCACAACAGCTGAAGCAAAATAGAAGGAAATGACTAGCACTAGCCGACTAGGGTAGCAAAGAGGGTTCAGGAGTAGGTGACTTGGCAGCCTTCGCTTCAGGGGACGCAAACGATAAACACAATCACGCATGAAAAACACAGGTGGGCGTGTCGAAAAAGAGATGATGCAAACGAAAACACACATGTACATGAAAGAAAGACACAAATGGGCATGAAAAAGAAAATGATGAAAACGAAAAGAAAATTAAAAAATAAATGTTTTGTCCACCCCCAGTCTGTGGTTGTAAGATTCTCTTAAGGCTAAGGTGAGTTGTAACTGACGGGCATTGTTTGGCTTGAGACGCGAGACGTCTCGCGGCCACCCACACAAAAAAGAGATGGTATGGACATATCCTCTTGGGCTCCTTATCTACTCATTCTCGAAGGGAGATATGCAGAAACCACCACAATTCTATGCACTTAGTGTCACTTGTATCCACAAAATGGCGGATCAGCTTGAGAACAGCTCAGGATCAGTCTTGACTCGTTCTCTTTTCTCGATCTCTTGCAGGATGAACTGTCGAACGGTTCCTCTCCGCTTTCACTGGTCAACTCTCATTGCTGAGCCACTTCCTGAAGCTACGGCAGTTAACGCGCGTACGGCACATGTTCGGAGAATCCAAATATGGACGGCTTGATTCATCGAGAGCCTGCATTACATTGTACCAATTCTACAAACTTGGAAGTTTGGTGACGTGCCTCAGCAGGGGTGCTGGTGCTTGGAAACCGGTCGCTCCCAGCTCAAAACCAGCGTCCGCGACCGGTCGAAAAAGGCAGCACCCCAGATTCTACTTTCGTCGTCCATCCTCGTGATCCTTAATCCTCCCTCTAAGCTCTTCAGGCTGACAGGCGCGCTTTAAGCGCTTCCGCAGGCTAACTCTTGCAGCACTGCAGCCCGCCAGTTGTGCGGTTCCCGACAGCGAAAACGAGTTCTTGAAACGGGTCCGCTAACCCAGCACGACAGACCCAAATAATTCATCAGACTCATAAATAACTGCCAGCATGGCCGAGACATCATCTTCATCTGTGCTCCAAACGTAGGAAGTTGGTCAATTGGTGCGTCACGTTTCACGGTATGTCCCGACGAAACCACCTGGCCAGGTGGACCAGGAGCAGTGCCAACCATCTAGAAATATTCAATGAATCTGTACGTAGCCCATTTGCCAACATGACATCGCTAATTTAGTTACTGTTATTTATATAAAATGATTACATATGAGCTAAATGATTCGGCAATTTGCCAACAATCTAGAATTAATGATCCGTCTAGAATCTTTGCCTTGAAGTTGAGTCCGGCATTGGCAGTGACCCGAAGAGAACTTCCCGAACCACTCGTCACTCGAAACGGAACCGCAAGGGGCTGAAGAACATTGGGATGCCTCTAAGCATGCAGAAAGACATCAGTCCGGCAATGGCGTCTTTGGTGGGGAGCAGCACTATCACGGCCGAAGCTTCAATCACTTGGGTGGATTGAAGCACTGCCCCTCTTGCATCGATTCAAGAATGGCCGACAACAAAGGCAACACTGTCAATCCATCCATCCTCTCAAGTGACACTGCAAACGCCAATTGCTTCGTGAATGCGTGTGGTGACGGCATTGTCTTCATGCCAGTCGACACGCCGAACAACAAAAGCCAAGGATAAAGGTGTCACACTTCAATGGCAACACATGGCAACATGTGATCCGATGCTCTAGGCCATCGTCGCACTCTCATACACGGAAGGCACCAAACCTAGCAAAGACCCATCCAATCCCAGCAGTGACAGCGCGGACACAAATAACATCAAAGAACCATCCAATCCCCCTGGCCTATCGCGGATACGCCTTTGGCGGCCCGCATGTGCCTGAACCAGGATTCACATCAAATGAACATGCCCAACCCCGAGCAAGATCTTTCTTTGTCTGAGAATGATCTGTGGATGTTTCATGATGTTTCAACTCGCCTCGCGGGACATGACAGCCAGCATCTCCCCATCTTGCTCAAAGCAAACGCGGCGCCTCGGCGTTCGGGAACGCTCGTGAGCAGCGCCCGCTTGCTCACCCGGTGTTTTCCATTCTCACCCTTGCGACGCCCGCCCGCGGCGGCTCCAGCGGCTGTCGATCCCCACGTGGACGCCGCCGGTCCCGGTGGACTGGTGCTGGGCGGAGCCTCGTCTGCGACGAGAGCAGCCGGTTCGACGTCGGCGGTCCGCGAGGCCCAAGGATCAAGGATCGATCGGCTCGGCCGCCCACTGCCATCTTTGGATAGAGTCCCATGGATCGTCCCAGAAGTACTGGCCTGGGCGACGAAGAACCGGGCGTGGGCCGTTCTGTGACAGGTGCGGGAAGGTCAAGAAAAAGAAAATGCCCGTTTCAGGTGGCATGAGTCTTTGAGAAAGGCTGAGCCTGTCAGCTGCTGCACAGGGCCGCTCCTCTATCTCCTTCTCTTTGGGTGAAGGCCTTAGCGAGTGGAGACATCATGCGATGTCGCTACTGTCCCACCCAATTACTGAGCCACAAACAAAGATTCGAAGATCTTCAGATTAAAGCCATCCTCACAAAACAAATAATCACTCCACATTGTCCTCTTGACCATCTGAAGCACCATAGCCATAGGTCATAGATCTTTGATTTTAGTAGGAATCTGCAACTGCCCCACGTTTTCCAAAATGTTGTGCCATGTTGTTGCCCATCCCACCCCGTCCCAATGACTCACCAAGATCCCACCGTCCCATCCATCTCCCCCTCGCCTCGCTCTGGGGACTCTGGGGGCTCGTGGGCGTTTTGGGAGCCTTGGGCGTCTTGGGCGTCTTGGGCCTCGGCGACCCGATGGCACCGGCGTGGGTCGGTGCCGGCGGTGCGGGGCCCCGAGACCGGTGCGCCGTGTGGTCGCCGAAGAAGCCCGTGGACCTACAAGAGGAAAGAGAAGAGCGACAAGGAGATTGGTAGGGATGGTCACCATATGTCCATGTCAACAATGCGTGTGCCAAATAGAGCACGGTATATATATATATATATAGGTATAGGTATATACTGTAACCATGTCCGTGTATGATCGTTTTTGATGACGGCTCCTTGTCGAAACCCTTCCTTCGGCCCATCTGTTCTGCTTGATATGTTGCTGCCGCCATGCTGAAGCCTAAGGAAGCTTGGGGCCTGGCCCTTCCTGGTGGGCCTTTGGGCTAAGCTGCTCCAGGACCTCAGGCTGGATTTACAATCCAACAAGCTTCCTAAGAGAGAAGTGAGAAGTCGCCAGAACTACGCAAGAGAAGTGAAAAAGGCCAGCACTCCCATCATCTCTAAGCGTTCCCGGCGCTTCCAAACAATCGGAGAGGCAGGGCCCTGGATGGCGTGGGCAATGCAATGAATGAAAACATGCGATGGTCGATGCATGTTTTTCTGCGATGCCCACGAGGCAAGCGGAATATGACCAGGAGACTCCTCCCCGAGTCACTCGGCGCTCCCCACTTGCTTCACCAATATCTATATATATATATATACGCAGCAGCGATGGAAAAAAGAACCAAGCTGCGGGCATGGCAGTCTGGGCGCTTAAGCTGGTCCACGACTGATTCTTTGGTTCGTACTTCCCTGCCGGTCCGCAGTGGAGCCCGAGCTGCGGTTCCGGAGTCCAAAAAGCCTCCGACGACCAAAGTCCCATGCCTTCGGGAAAAAGAAAACACCTGATGAACACCTTCAACTGGCTTACAGCTGCAGGCTTACAGCTGTCTCAACCGTCACTCAGTTCAACATGTCTCACTGCAAAAAGCACCAGACCCTTTCAGGCCAACTCCTTCACCGGGAAAAATAAAACAATCTCCCAAAGCAGTTGATGCAAAGTGTCCTGGTCAACGTGACAAAATTGAAACTGGAAGAAACTGCCCAAGTGGTATACTTGTTCTCCAGCTCTCTGATGGAACTCCGTACAGGTGTGGAAGTCGAACTTCGTTGGGATTTTTACCAGGCCGAAGGCAACCCGGAGATCGCACAGGTGAGCAGCCACAAGAGCAGGTCAGGCAGCCGTGCAGTCAACAGAGTGGTCTGGTGCTGCTCTGTGTGGCAGTCCCATCGCAGAAAGGCCACCTGACCTGGTCGGAGCATCCTGGCTGCACATGGTGAAACTTAAGTGAAACTCAGTCATGCATGGCTATTGCCATAGTGCGAAGGTAGCATCAGAAGACCCGCTGATGAGGAATTTGTTGGCCACGGGCTCAAAGACCACATCCTGCATCGAAGCAGAGGTCAGAAGTGGCTGAGATTGCAACAAAACTGATAACTTATAACAAACAGGCCTGAACGGAATCATCGTGCCCTTCCAAATTTGCCACGAAGACCTTGTCATCAATGTTGAAGGTTTTGATGGATGCATCGCCCGACCTTGCGAAGTGAGCGGTCACATATGTGTTGGGTATAATCACATTCCCTGGGGCCAGTGGATGATGGTTAGGTTGCCGACTGTTACGGGTCATATGATGGGACACCCCCAACATGTGTGCTCTAGGACATAACACGCCAAAGACATGAATCATCAGGTGCAACACGGTCGACATGGAGCTCGTTCTTTTCACCTGAAGAACGTCCGAGGCACGCGATGGCCAGGACCTTTCCACTGCGGTCGAAGTTGGAAGCATTGGCTGGATGTCGCCCAGTGTCAATCTGTAGGAACTCTGACACCACTCGCACATCCCACAGCTTCACGATGCCATCTGCATCGCAGGATGCCACAGTGTCACCCTTCAAATTGAACATGGCGTGGTTGCAAGCATTGGCATGGCCATAGAAGGTCTGCACACACAGACCCGTTCGCAGGTCCCAGAGTGAGATCGTCTTGTCGCCTGAGGCGGTCAACACGTTGTTCGAGAAGGGCTGAAGGGTCACGAAGTTCACCGAGTCCACGTGGCCGCGAAAGGTCTGTCGGCATCGCATGCTGGTCGTATCAAAGGCTTTCACCGTCTGATCCTGAAGAGATGACCATCCAAAAGGAAACTCTCGAAGTTTCAACAGGTTGGCGTTCGATGTGGTCTTTCTTTGCCTTCTTCTTTGCCTTTTGGTGAGGCATGGCTGAGAGCAGGGCCATCGAGCAGGATACCACAAAATCCCCAAGATCGTGAAAGGAACAAGCCCACACAGGCCTCACAGACATATAGAGTTCACTTCCACATCGGCACCATAAATGGTCCTATTCCACAACATGGACCCCAGCCGCTGAGTTCCAGGCTGTGTGTGATCTGTCAGAGTGTGTTTGCACTTTTCTTTGGCCACGTCCCAAATCTTCACCGTGGAGTCTCCTGAAGAGGTAGCAACCTGCAGCGAACCGGGTGGAACCTTCGCCACGGCGGCACCGGGTTGGAGGTCTGATTTTCTCCACTGGCCGGGAGACCCGGCAGGTGCAAACGGTAGGGTCCCAAAGGTTCCGAGCTGCGAAGCTGGGGGCGAAGCTGGGGGCGAACGGAGGGCTTTGGGCGAACGGCGAAAACCAGACGTTCTCACTGGAGATACAGCAAGAACGAAAAGCCAAGCCACCAGGCTTTCGTCGCTGGGCCTCCCGACCAAGGAGCCGCGTGGATGGAAGGCGATACCGCTGACCCAGTCCCTGCAGCGAGCTGCACAGTGGCCGTGAGCTGCTGACGCGGTGGTTTGGAAAAAAAACAAGGCATCCCATCCGACACCGATCTCTTCAAGGGTCGCAAGAAATCTGCTGGAAAGCTTCGGTTGAGACCTGCTGGTGCTAAACCTCGCAAATCGCTTATGTCGAGTTCGAGAGGGTCATTCTGAGGGGTTCAGAGCAGTATTCTTGGAGCATTTCTGGTGGAGGAGACAGAATAGAGTACGACCACAGCGTTTTTTGTGGCTTCTGGGCTGCGAGATTTGGCTTCATCAGTGTCACTACATTCAATGCGGTTTGATGTCATGGAGGTATATATAAGCCTCCCAAAAACAATAGCATGGGATAAGTGCAGGGATCCTGACGTGTGTAACATACACCCTGGTTGTTGGCAACTCCACCTAGTAGCCACTTGCTGCACGAAACTTCCCACTAGTCTTCACCAGCCTGTGACCTTCACCACTCAGGACCAGCTGACCTGCGCCAAAGGTGAGCTGAACCTAAAGACTCATGCGCAATTGCCGTTGCAACCGCTTGCACTGCCAGCTAGCATATCAACCTATGTTTCAGCTGATTTGTGGTTCTATCAAATCACGATTGTTTAAACAGACAACTCAACACCAAACACAACTGTTCATCGACCTTGGGATGGGTTTCATGAAAAAAACAAGAAGGAGAAGAATGAAAAAGATTTACAGTGTAAAAAAAAATAGGAAAGCACCTGCTCTTCCAAATCAGTGGGTTGAGTTCATAGACAAAGCACGCACCAAAAAAGACTGCTCTTCCAAAGTTTAGTTCTGGTTTGCGCAACCCACTTGCCTTCCGGCATCGACCACATCTTCCAAGTATGGTCATCACAGGCCGTTGCCACCACCGGAATCTTCGGGTGGAAAGCCACTCGAGAAATAGCCTCAAAAGAACAAGGACATGCAACTCAAGAAGAAGTGCTTGGAGATAAGGTTCCTTCACAAACTAATGGTGTTCAGGTATGAAAAGTGCCCGCTTTCCTGTCTCACTCAGCTCTGGACCCCCATATGTCCTTTGAAGACTTGGCTCCTGCCGTCAGGTTAGGCCAACGGAATGGCATTGTTGGATGCTGAGGCAGCGGAGAAAGAGAATAAAAGGACCACATGCGCAAAAAAAGCATCCGTGCTCCTCGTGAAATCCGAGATGCGCACGGCCTCGAAGTTGGAGTTGCTATAGGGGTTCGTCCTGCCCCCGCGCGGGTCGAAGCGTTCGACCACGCCCCGTCGAGGATCAAAGCCGCCCGCCGCTCCTGTCTTCGCTGGGCCACGGAGCTTCCCGCAGGGTCTTCTTCTTGCGCTGCAGCTCGTCACTGTCGGTCAAATCCTGTCCGTCTTCTCTCAGGATAAGCAACCAACGCATGGACTGGCCAAACATGGATTCAGAAGGAACATGATCACAACATCTCCCAAAGGTAGATGGTCATCCCTTGCAGAAACGATTCCGGAAAGAAGGAGGGTCAACTAGGGCTCCCGGGTTCTGACCGACACCAATTTTGATGTTTGCAACAGTGCAACGCCCACCTTGCTGTTCATATTCTCTTCTTTCGCTTCAACCTAGCCAGTCCGTCAGAAAATCGCGTGCGACGAAGCAAACAAAGCAAATTCCTACATGTCTCATTCCGTGTGCCGAACCGCAATGAACGATCGGACGAAACAACGAACAGCTACCAACTGTGACCATCTTCCAGATCCCGGGATAGCTCTTTGTTTCGGCGCTGCGCAGCTATTTGCGCAGCACTGTGCAGGCACATCCGCGAGACGAGACTGGGGGATGCATTTCCACTTGGAAAACCTGTTTCAGGACCGAGGTCCTCCAGCTCTTCACCAAAACCCTCGCCTGTGAGAGCTGCTTCTGCAAGGACTCGGCCTCGAGATGTAAACACATCGTGGTGAAGCGATCAAACACCCGGAATCGGCCCCGGAATCGGCTGCGAACAGTCGGAAACGACCCTGAATGGTATGATGGATCACTCCGGCAGAGTATTTATATACATATATATAGACATATACGTATTATATAAATATATATTTGTATGTGTGTGATTACAAATGTATATATCTGTGCGTGTTTTGAATATGATTTAATTAGCATACATATGTGTGTGTGTCACCCTTGGAGTCATAGGGATGCTTTTGCATTTGTTTTGTTTTACAGCAGGGGGTGCCAGGGGCCGTGCAAGTCTGGCACTAACAAAGACACTTGCACTGGTCTGTGATATAGCTCCGGGACGCTGGAGCTACGTACCTGCTTTGAAATGAACCTACGTAATGGACAAGCTGTTCCAATGCTGTGTTTTGCAGTAATTGTCTAGTGCTGACCTCTCCGTCGTTGTGCTTTTTGGAGATCGGTGGAGCTTTCGGTCTTTTCTGCAACTTTTGGAACTTCCACTGGATAAACCTCTTCTTCCTTTTTAGACTTTCCTTCTTCCTTTTAGGTTTCCCTACTTGTACTCTTAGGAATTGGAACCCTAGGCCGGCGTGTGGCACCGCATTCAGTTCCGTACACAATATCTCAAGTGTGTGTTTGCGTTTACACTTCCCCAGGCCGTCATCGTTTTTCACGCATCCTTGAAGGGGGGCGAATTATATATATATAGAGCAAATTTGAGAAAAATAACGTCAAGAATTCTGTGAGTGTTGGGTTGCTGGGTCTCATTGGAGCCACACGGGCCTTTGCAGCATATCGATCACGTTCCAGTCGCATGAGCATCTTCTCCTGCGCAGTTGGGTTTGTCTCAAGTATACACTCACCTGTGGGAACGGTTGAAGTTGCAAAACAAGGACAAAAAACTGTGAGTCCCTTTCGTTGCCTTCATGGCCACTTCATATTTGTGCCGTAATTCTGTCAGCGTCGGCTCGTACTGCTCATAATGCTTCTTCAAGCGCTTCAAGTCCTTGTCTTACTTACCGCAGTCTCTGAACATGAGAAGGACAAGCTCTTGGGAAAACATTCCCAATCAGCTGCCACCAAGCTTCGACAATGAGCTTGTTCTTTTCTTGCACCACCTCAAAATTCCATGAACACACGGCACTTTGGCACGATCCAAGATGGACTGTCCAATCCACCTAAGACTCCAACGCGACGATGATGCATGCGATGGTAATCTCGCTCCTTGCGGAACTTGTCCCAGGACTCCTTGGCCTCGCGAGGGTCGCCGCGTCGCCGTTGCTTCGGTCGATGAGGATCACGCTGCGCCCCTGCCTTCGCGGCCACCACGCGAGCTTTCTCCAGCTCCTCCCGCAACAGCAACACCTGGCAGTCGAAAAGTTGGGCGGGGCTGCAACTGCTGACCAGGAATGAACTGCCACCTCTTGCTGAAATCCGTGGTTGCGGGTGTAGACATCGGGGACCACTGCTAGCTCAGAGTCCTGCATGTTGAGCAAAAGGATGGAAGTTTTGATGCGTCAAAACAACACATGCAAAAAGCGAGTATATAGTGGCTCTGACATTTGGTGCCAAGCCAAAACATCGCAACAATCCTTGAACTTCCCATTCTGCTGCATCTCGTACCACTCTGCCTGAAAAACGTCCAGGGATCGCTTCATCCCATACCTGCAAACGAGCGAGCGTGCGGCCCATGAGGAGGGCGGAGGTGACGAGGGAGCGTGTCAGGCGCTAGCGCACTTGAGGAGGAAGTTCCGGAAGAAATCGTCAATGACTTGAGGACGCTGCTGCACCTCAGAAGCAAACGCTTCTGAAGAATCCAAGAGGGACCAAGACCCCTCTACCCCTCAAACCCCTCGACAAAACAACCCTCTCGCCTTGGCAAGCCCAGCTTCTTCTGTGGCCTCCTGCGATGGTCAACATCAAGGCACGACTCCGCGAGAGGCAGAGGTTTTACACCCTGGAACTAACATGGTCACGTGGACAAACAGGTGGTGAACTCCACTTCCAGGTTAATTCCAGGGAGAGTAGGCTTGATTCAACAACATTCTACTTTAGCCGCTCAAAACAAACACTCGTGTCTACAAGAAAGCCATCCCCTCCTGGGTATCAGCTTGCTTAGTCTCTGCAAGGAGACGGTTGATGTCATCCAACTGCTCCTGATCAACGACACCCACTGCTCCACTGCTTTGACCACACGGACGGCATCGACCGCATCCACCAACGTTCACGGTTGCGACTCCAAAAAAGGTGTATGTATCTAGGGCGTGTCGACACCACGGAGGATGGTCTACCGCACCGCTGGCGCCGCGGGCGTCGCCTCCTCGTCGTCCGGTTCGAGAAGCTCCGGGTCTTCGGGCAGCTCCTCGCGGCACACCGCTGCGATGTTCGCGGCGTTCGCGCGGTGAAAAGCATCGAGTCGATGCCAAAAAAAACGGTTAACTGATCGGTTTTTTTACTGCATGGTTACATCCCTGCAGACAGACTAACATGGACCCTGAGAATGGCACCCATGGTTTCCGCCATAATACCAACCCAGTGGTTTTGGGGGCCCGTGTTTGCCCGTGTTAATCTGATGGAGATTATTAATACGGAATGCCCCGTGCCGGTTGAAAGCGCCCCTCAAAGCCTCGTAGTTGAACTCATCATCACTTTCCTCGGGACAACCAATCATTCCAACTCAGCATTCACCAAACGGTGACTTCAACGGCAAGCTTCATCACTCAATTCGATCGTCTCCAAGATCGTGTGCTGCTTGTCCGATCGCGAGGCATCCATGCCTCACGCAAAGCACGCGCACGCATGTAGGGCCAAGAAGGTGGACCCACTTTGATCAACTCTTGCGACAGAATCAAGGACTGCCCGCCCCTCAGTCAATACGCTGGAATGAACTTCGAACACCTCTTTGCACGTCATGGCACGTACAAAGACCCATCCTAAACCACGGGCATTTGCCAGAGAGGTGTCTCCTTTTGCGTGTTTCTTCGTGGGACTGTCAGGACAGCCAGCCTTTTCCCGCTGTGACCACCATCGGCACGGCCAAGCTTCGCTGGCACTGCTCTAGACTGCCCCAAAAAAAAGGCTTGAGCAGAAACCAGTGCAAGCCCGTCAAGCGTGAAACCATTCCAAGTCTTTTCGAGCCTCCCTCTCTCTCTCTCTCTCTCTCTCTCTCTCTCTCTGTTAGGCATTATGATACACTTGTGTAACAGTGTGACATATGTCACTTTCTAGCTAGGTGACTTGCAAGTGGAACTACCAAATTCAGCTTCAGCTTCGAAACACTTCCGTCAGCGCTCCACGCGTCTTTGGCGCTCGCCGAAGCGTCTTCAGTCAGCTTTCCTTTCAGGGCACCGAAGTGGCACGACCCATCTGCCCACGGCGAAAGCTCGAACCGACACCGCGAGCGTTTCAAGCTCGAACCTCCGCGACTTCTGTAGGTGTGACTGAAGTAGCGGCCAAGCTACTGCATCCTTGGGTCACAAAGGTGGATAACAGAAGACTATCTCAGTCTGTATCAATAACTGCATGAACAACGAACCTGGAGGGGCTCTCAACGTTCACCAAGAACCACGCCCAGTTCTCATCCCAGCCGTTGAGCTTGGGCCTTTTGGCGGCTGACGCAGGGCTGCTAAGCTAGTGATAGGGCGGACTGATTAGATGCGGGTTTAGAGTCTAGAGTCTCTACTAAAAGGGGAAGACCGGAGACCACCCAAGGCCCCCCCGGAGGAAAGAACATAAACCAAACCATACCAAACCCCTCTTTGAGGCCAGGGTGTCCCCGGAGTGCCCTCCTCTTCAAATACAAACCGTCTCACCGAGGCCCGAACTGCCCGGCAGCCGACTCCAGCTGCGGCAAGTCGTACGTCGCAACCTGCGTGTTGCGAGAGGAAGTCGACAGGATCGTGCGTCCAGTGGTGGAACTGGGAGATTTCCCCTCGCTGGGCTTCCTACGCCCAAAGCGTGCGATAAACTCTGGGCAAGCTCCTGCAAATCATCTTTTTGCAAAGGAACCGTCCACCTGTGACTCTTTGATCTCAGTCCTCCGAACTGGAAAATGTGAAGCCATTTTCACCATGGCGAACTAGCCTTCAGAGAGGGAAAATGGATGAAAACATCTCGGGGCCGGGACTTGTGCACAGTCGGGTCCAAACCAAATTGGAAAACGATTGAACTTGCTCCAAGGTGGCCACTCAGGCAGTGCGGCGAAAGATCTGGCACATGCGGGCAAGCCTGCTCCAAACATGTCAACCACCTGGACAAGCCAAAGGACAAAGGAATGCAGAAGGACAAAGGAACGCAGCCGATCACCTTCATAGGAAGGTCGAAGCCGGATGAAGAAGTATGTAAGCCTTTGCTGCTTCCAAATGCATGCACCCTGACTATTGTCTAACGTCTCCTGCACACAACAAGAGCTTGACTCTCTTAAAGGTAAGCCCTCCACTTAAGCCTAGATCGGCACTTCCCAGCAAGAGAGCGTAATCCTTGAAACTTAACCTGGGCTCATCGACTGAAACTCACCTGGCGTAGGCACAGGCGTTTTAACAGGCGTTTTGCTGCGCAAAATCTTCCACACCCAGCAGCCAAAGGGTCAGGACTCGAACCGCTTTGAGCTGCTGCCTCACTTCACTGCAACCAATGTGCACAAAAACGGGGCAGCACTTCAAGGATGGAACGACATCGCTGCATAGCGATCCTTCAGGAACAACATTGAACGACATGCGCAAATGATGAAGGCACCAAACTACAAGGACCAAACGAAGCTTTGTGCCAATGAATGCCCCAATACTTCCACTGGATGACTTGAAGGGACCAAAGCTCTCTGGCCTCAAATTGCTGCCGCAACTCACCCTTCCCCGTCACCACGACCACCGCGCGCTTGGCAGCCTCAAAGTTCAAGCTGCCGACCAGCAGATGTCCCCAACTCGGCAACCCTCGGGCCCCTGGCTTTGGCCAGGTCGCGATCCAAGGCGGGCAACGCCTCATCCCGGTCGCGGGTCGCGGGTCGACCGGAGCACGCAGTCGGGTCCCGGTCTTCGGTTTTCGGCGCCGCGCGTCGAGCAGCTGGTTGAAGTCCTCGTCGGGAGTCCAAGAGGTGGAACCTGGAAAGTCGGAGCACGCCACGAGGAGGTCGGCTGGGGGGGCTGTGGGTGGCTGTGGGTCGCCCCTGATGGACCGGCGAAAATGAACAGGATAGACCACCAGGCAGGTCAATCTACCAGTGAAGTGGGCTCCAGGTATTGACCCACAGCCACGACGACAGACCACGACAACCATTGCTCAGCCCAGGTCACCCGGGAGCGCCAGCGAGGGAAGCAGGGAGAACTGCGGAAGCAAAAGGGCCCCGACTGATCACCAAATGTGGCCTGCTCGAAGAGCGACCTCAGTCTGGGCAATATTTATACAACACTCAGAAGTGAACCTGAAAAATCCAAGGTTGTGGCTGACCTGTCCTTCTGAAACTTCAGTGAACAGGGTTTGGCCTGGTCCAAGCACACATTCCACAGCCCCAGCCCACGTTGATTTTGGGTCCTGCACTCCTTCCATCGGGCCACCAATCAGACAACCTTAGAATTGACTCCACCCCCATCACCTGGATGTGGTTTTGACTCCGTGACCCATGCGTTTTGGAACTCTTCGTTTTCTGCCTCGCCCTTCGCCAACGACCGCGAAGGAAGGAGCCTCCCTCTCTACTGCCAGATCTGAGGCGCAGGACCGATCCAACAGGCCACTATCCCACAAGCTTAGGAACAGCGCATGTTGCCCCTCAAGTGGCGTGGGCCTGCCATGGTTCATGGGAGGGTCGGCGGTCGGTCGGCGCTTTCTTTCGTTTCTGCCCAGAGGCATCGCCTGAACATGGATGCAGGCCGGTCATGCAATGGGGTCGCAGAAACCTTGGTTCACACAACACGTGACAAGTGGAGACGAGGCAAATCCTATCACGACGAGTCAGGAGATGTGCCCGCACATGCCTCCCAGCCGCAGGAGATGTGCCCTGCAAAGAAATTACAGTAAGCCAAAGTAGCACTCCATTCCGACGCCAATCGCGAGCGCATCCTCAAATGAACTGCTTCGAGCCCCATCTCCCGAAAATAACATTGAAGCAAGCCCTGGTGAGGTGCCAACTGTGCCGTCACACAGAAGGCATCATCTGCCATGCGGCCAAAGAATGTTTCATAGGCCAAGTGCGCCTGACGAGAACAAACGTGGTGCTGCTTCAGTTTGTCAGCTACAAATAAGGTGAGTCCACCTGCACCAAGGGATGTGCCTCCCCCAGCCTGGCGACGTATTCCAGGATCAAACGAAAGCACCTTTTTAGGAGAACAACTTTTGGTCAAAACATGCAGGGGCGTCTTCAGTGCCAGCAGAGAGTAGCCGAAATTGTGGAAGTCTATGATTAACGAAGCCCCCTAGGTCGCGGAGTTGTGTCCTTTCTTTGGTCGCGTCGGCCAGCGCATTCGTCCTTGGGTCCCTCCTAAAGAGTTTGTGAAGGCCTTCCCTGCCTGGAGTGTAGCAATGATCCGGGCCAGCACTAAGGTCGGAATGGCCGGCCTCGGTCATACACGACAGGAATGGGTCGACCAAAACAAATGGAAAACGAAAACCGCCCACCGCCGAGACCCACACGGATTTTGCACCAGAAGGAGATCAAACTTTGGTGCTGAGAACCTGCAAGGCGCAAACGGCTTCTTGGAGCCTGTGTTTCTGCTTGGTCCAAGAGCAGCACAAAAGAACTTTCAGCAGCCCCCACACCAGGAACACGACCTGCTCAAATGAAACCCGTTTGAGAACGAACGCACGCAGTGTTCATCGGCAAGTCGAACCTTCAAAGCGGCTTTGATTGTGAATGGCAGCGATCGCGGAAACTCCTCGATGGTCATGTGTGTGCATTGTTAGGCTAGGCAAGTGAGGGGATTTTAGTGCCAGGGAAAGTTTCTGAGGAACCCCGCCCACGGAACGATGTGGCGCAAATGGATTCGCGGATGCGAGAGGACCTCCTGGCTTGGAGGTTGTGCAAGAAATCTGTCTAAAAAGATCTGAAACCCAACTAACTAGTCGCTCTTGTTACTAGTGGTGAGGCCAAAAGCTACTAGTAGTTTCTTGCTCCTATTTGTTACCATTAGTAAGGCCAGAGCTACTAGTCGTTTCTTGTTCCGTGCCCTTTGTTTTTAATAGTTTCTTGTTACTAGCAGTAAAGCCAGGAGCTACTAGTAGTTTCTTGCTCCTAGCAGCGATGCCCTTTCTTCCTAGTAGCGTCTTGTTACTAGTGGGAAGGCCAGGAGCTACTAGTAGTTCTTGATCCTAGTAGCGATGCCCTTTGTTCTTAGTAGTTTCTTGCTACCAGTAGTAAGGCGAGGAGTTACCAGTAGTTTCTTGCTCCCAGTAGCGATGCCCTTTGTCCTTAGTAGTCTCTTGTTGCTAGGAGTCAGGCCAGGACCTACTAGTAGTTGTTTGTTCCTAGTAGCGATGCCCTTTGTTCCTAGTAGCCCCTTGTTACCAGTAGAACGGCCGGGAGGTACTAGGAGCTACTAGGAGTTTTTTGCTCCTAGTAGCGGTGCCTTTTGTTCCTTGTAGTACGAATCGGTGGCCAGGAGCTACTAGTAGTTTCTTGCTCCTAGTAGCGCTGCCCTTTGGTCCTGGTAGTTTATTGCTACTAGTAGTGAGGCCAGGGGCTACTAGTAGTTTTTTGCTCTTAATAGCGGTGCCTTTTGTTCGCAGTAGCTTCTTCCTACGAGTAATAGGGCCAGGAACTACTAGCAGATTCTTGTTCCTAGTAGCGACGCCCTTACTAATAGTGAGGCCAGGAGCTACTAGTAGTTTTTTGCTCCTAGTTGCGCTATATAGTTTTTTGTTCCTAATAGCGATGCCGTTTGTCCCTAGTAATTTCTTGTTACTAGCAGTCGCAAGGAATTACTAGTTACTAGGAGCATGCCCTTTGTTCCTAATGGTTTCTTGTTACTAAGCCATCCCGTTAAGTTTTTCCTCTCCGCTACACCGTCGAGCAAAGGTGACACGGTGTGTTTGTTTTCCACGAGTTGTGGGCGTTAAAGAGCCTTTACAATAATTGTGGCGGTCGCACTGCTGTAGGCTGAGCCTTGCTCTCATATTGGTAAAGAGGTCAATGCAAAAATTTTGAGGAACATGTTCCAACCCCCCGGCAGGAAACTCAGAACCAGGCTCCAGCATACCCAACCAGCGAGACTTCACAACCTTTTCCGGTGAAAGAACTGATTGGCAACTTGCGCGCACAAATGGATGCAACAGTTCCAGGCCATGTTTTGCAAGCGACACCGCATGATACCTAGGCAGCCACAACACATGCCAAGCTGGGAGGGGTTACATTACGTCTTCTAAGGATACCACTGCATGCGTGGACTCCGCCCAATGTCACCAAGGACAATGACAGCAACATGGGGTTCCGCCTCACCAACAGCATTGTTCTCAGAACCCCGTTGTGTTGATGAGTAGTTTCTGTGTGCCGGGCTGGGCTTTGAAGCCCTCGCCGGTACCAAATGACCAACAGCACCTCGAACAAAATGTCCACTTCAACTTCCAAGCGGCAGGACCCGTAAACCAAGCCAGCAAGGCTAAGAGCAAGCATGTGAACATGATCAAGTAGATCACCTGGAGATCTGGACGCCAACAAGTCGAAACACACCTTGAGATTTTAATTGTCATTGTTGAATGAGTTCCGTGCAAAATGAAACGAGTTTCAAACATCCGTAGCAATGGTTTTCAATTCGATCTTGGCTGGGGGCGGCCATTCATATAGGTCAATGCGTTATTCTTGATTGAAGTGCAATGCGCATGCTGCCTGGGTGAACAACGCCATGAGGAAAAAATACCTCAGAACAAATGCCACAGCCATTTCAACTTAGGTCTTTTCTGGGCTGTTTCAGCCGAGTTTGCCGCATTGTCGGTTTCCATAAATGATGCGGTCGCAAGTGGAATGTACAATTCCGGTGACCTCTACTTGTATGAATTCCAACATTGTTTTGACTGCGAGGATGCATGAACAGGTGTCGTGTGCAAACTGTTAGGCACAAGTGTCTGAACCTCTCAAACGCCGGTCGCAAAAAAGAACCATTTGTCATAATGTAAAAAAAAAATTCGCTGCGCCCCCCGTTTTGTCACCTCTTTTGCCATCCACCGACTGACACACACCATTGTTACTATGGCGGCCCATGTGTGTGGAAACGGGCATGGTGTACTTATCGATGTTAACGAGTCAATCACGCGCAGTTTGCCCCAGAGTCTCCTGTGCAACTTGAAATGCACGTAACGGAACCTTCCAAGTGGCTACGATTTTTGTTTTTATAGTTGTTGGGTTGGTCCACAAGTTCAATTAAACATATACATGTTTCCTCCCTCCGCAGGCGGCAGCAAGCTCGGGGTGAAACCACAGCAAGCTCGGATGAAATCGAGTTGCGCAGTGAAAAAATTCAACAATGACTGTGGGCACAATCAGGCTAGGAGAGAACGAATGTAAAGATTTGTCGCTTCCCCAACCATGAACGGCGCCCTCGTTGGCCTTGCCTTGCCCCGGCCATGAAACATCATCCAACGCACAATTCCTAACCCACCACTCCACATAACAATTGTTGTTTTTTCCAATTACTTTTTCTATGCAGGCCTCTCACTGTTGCCCCGAACACACCAGAGCAAAAACCAATAGGGACGTCCCCACTTTGACTTTGACTTTGCGCCTGCATGTCCGGGGGGGGCAGCCCATTTAGGGCGCAGGCGGGGTGAAACGGCAAACTGTGAGACTTGCACAATTTTATCGATTCAGGCAGTATCCGACGAAGTCATCTGTCATATTCTTCCAAAAGGCCGCATCGGCCGCAACTGGCTTCCAATCTCCCAAGTCACACGCTCGACAGAACTCTTCGAATTTGCTTTCCCAAGTGTGGGTCGGTCGTCCCAACTTCCTGCGGCCCGGGGGGCGCCAGTCCAAAATTCGTCGAGCCCAGCGGTCATCAGGTAAGCGGGCCACATAGCCACCCAGTAACCAGTGCTGGCGGAGACATAGTGTCGGCCAAGCAACAATGCCGGAGGAATCAGCAAATCGTTGAGCCCGCACGTTCCAGCAATGTAGAATTTCGTGCCACTCTTGGTCCCAAGACATCCCTCCAGGAGGCCCAACAATTGTACGTAGTAGTTTGCGGTATTCTGCTTTGATCATCTGCATATCTTGGTTGTGCACAGTCCTGTGCCCAGCACCGAAACAAGCAACCGAACCAACCACGGATTGAAAGAAGTGAAGGCGAGCAGATATGGACACATGTTTGTTGCAAAGAATCCATCGATTTGCAAAGAATGCTTTGTTTGCCTGTTGGAGGTGGAGGCGAATGTCCTGGTTTTGTCCGGTCGATCCTTGTGCAGACAAAACGCAACCCAACCATTTGTGCCCTGCATCACGGTCCAATACCTTCAACGTAATGCCACCATCCGTTCTCAGCATCTGTGGGGGTTGCGCTTCGGTGGTCAAAACGATTGTTGTTAATGCACTCAACTGAAGACCAACACGGCTGAACGACAAAATAAGTGAGTCCAATAATGACGCAAGTTCTGACGAAGATTTTGCAAACAATAAAATGTCATCGGCGAACCGCAAGTCTAACAGTGCACGGCGACCATCCCCCAAATCAAAACCACCAGACGGATTCTCGGCCCTCCAGCTAGCCATCGCCATTTGCAAAACAGAACAAAAGAGGCGCGGACTCAGGACACACCCTTGTCGCACGCCAGCTCCGATCATGAAAGCACGGCTTCGGTTCCAATCGCCCAACACTTCTCCGAATTGATTGTCGTAAAGGGATTGCAAAATCCAAATGAGGTGGGCAGACACCCCATGATTCGCCAAAGCTTGCCATAATGAAGGCCAAGAAACCCGATCAAATGCTTTGGACAAGTCTAAACTCACGACCCAAACCGGCATGTCATGCGCCGCAGCCTTGTCCAGGAACAGGTTGGCCGATACCAAATGTTCTTCGATGCGGTACCCTGTTCTGAAGCCATGTTGTTCTTGGGGCTGCTGCTGCTCCAAGCAGTCTTCGATGCGTCGTAAGACTAGGTACGCGAATACTTTATACAACAGCCGAACTATAGCAATGGGGCGGAAGTCTGCTGCATGCGTTGCCTTCACCTTCTTAGCCAGCATGATGAACACCGTCTTGGACCACTCACTTGGAACATTGCCACAAGACAAAATGTCATTATACAAATGCAATTCCACCAAAAGTTCCTGAAGGGCATGCTTCAAAAGTTCGGCAACCAGTCCTGCTTCATCGGCTCCGCGTTTGCATTTCATCCGTTTAATTGCAACTTGTAGTTCCTCTATGGTCCACGGGCGTTCGTCTAAAACATCGGGTTTCACAACTGGAGACGGATTCCCGCAAAACAGTTGTTCCAGCATCTCTGCAAAATCAGTTACCAGTGGCTGGGGAACCATGTTCTGAGCTTGTGAGCGCGGCAAACATCGCCTCAAGAATTTCCACCTTGATGTGTGATGCAAGCAAGTGTTGAGGTGCCGCGCCTTCCATTGGCGAACCTCTGCCCTTTGCAATTTCCGGATTCGGAAGCTGAGGTGTTTTCTTGACCATTGGCACGGCTCCATTCGACGATGTTGACGAAGATCAGTGAGTAACTTGGAAGCCCGGAATCGACTAGAATTTGCTGTAACACTGCCTCCTGCAACGCCAGCATCGTGAAGCCACATCTCAATATCAGTGAAAGAATGCACATCCGTCTGGGCCATGGAATCCTTTAGTTTGTTGTGAAAGATTTCCGGGCAACCATTTCCATTCAGATGCGGCGTCCAATTTTTGAGTTCGACGTGTCTCCGCGAAGCTTTTGAACGAGGCACCTTGATCTGAACTACTGCATGGACGCACCGATGATCCAATCCAACCGGGACACCAAAATCGTTCCACGTCGTCAAACGCTCGAACAGCGGCTGGGCCAACACGAAATCTATTTGTACCAAAGATCCGTCCATTGTTCTGCAGCAAGTCCATCTGTCATGGTCTGGTTCAGGGCCATGCATCCGGTTCACGGCGTTAAGCCCGCGTCTTTCCACCCACCGAGCTAAAGTCCACCCACGGGCATTCCTCTGTCCAGAACCGTGTTGTCCAAGGCGTTCGATTGAGTCGCCGGGCGCTGGTGCTCCAAGATTTGCATTGAAGTCCCCGGCCAACAATGTAGCAAAATTCATATTTTCAGATTCATCCAGAAGTAAATCCAGCAAAGCATAACAAAGATCAACTTCATCATCAGGGCCCCAAGCCGTTGGCATATATACTGCAAAACATGTTATTCTCACGGTCCTGATTTCAAATTGCACTGTGCAGATGCGTGAAGATATGGCGTGGAAGCATACATTTGTAATTGATGCACAAAGGTGGCGGCTCAAAGCAATGCCAACACCCCGGTGCCCAACATCAGCGCCACCACTGAAAAAAAAAAAAAAAATTGTGTCCAGCAGGTGTTAAGAAACATTTTTTTTTCCTCCCGATCATTCCGCCAGGTCTCGCACAGACAAAGTACTGAAAAGTCCAACTTGTCAATTTCAGCAACGAAATCATTGAAACGGTCCTCATGCTTCAAACTTTGGACATTTTTGGTTACGACATGCAGTGTGATGAATTCATCCGAGACCGATTCGCTAGAAGCATCACTCATCCTGCAGCCCGCCGGTTTGTCAGTCGGTGGGTGCAGGCTTTTTCCGTTACCAGCATTCTCGGTCTCGCCCTCCTCCTTTTCTTATTCCAAATCGGCGATGTACTCACCCAGTGCTTCCTTCACACCATCGTCTATGATGTCGGCATTCACCCATGATACCTCCAAATCGGAAGAAATGAAAGCAACGGGCATTAACTTCGAATTGTGGCGCACCACCACTTTGAAACATTGGTAGTTCACGAGCACGTCTTTGGGAGCACGTCCACCAATCTCAATCAAGAACTTTTTGAGTTTGCTGGCTGCTTTGGAACGGTACCTCTCTGTACGGCTTTGTTTTCGGCTGCCCACAGGGGTGCCTGCTGCAAAGCGCATGGGCACTGCTTTCAAAATGTGCAAGCCCAAGCGGGACCTGACCTTGCGACATGGACAATCGCGAAAACCTCCGATCACGGCAATGGACTTGTCGACTCCTTCATCTTCATGCACATGTGTCCCTCCACTTGCGTACTGCTGCTCCAAAGTGGCAAGGCGTGCTTCCAATTGCTCACGGGCGGCGGCTTCAGCACGAAGTTCCGCCTTCAAAGTGTCCATGGTGACCGTCATGTTTTGAAGAATCCGTCCCTCAATCTCAGCCATCCCATTGCTAATTTCCTCGCGCATCATCATCCTCAGGGCTTGGATTGTTGCGGAATTCATTTCAACCTTGTTGGTTTCAATTCCTTTCGAGCCATGACTGGCTGCACCCTCCCCGAGCGATTGATCCAAGGCACGGGGTACTCTGCTTCACGGTCTGGTGTGCCTTCGGGAGCTGCACGCTTCGGTGCCGCACCCATGTCAGTGTCCTCCGCATCTGTGAACTTGAGGTAGGCCTTCTCGAAGTCAGCAGTCAAGTCGTCCCATTTCGCGCCTTTCGATCGGGCATCGTCGACCGACTTTGCCAACTTGTACTTCTCGTACCTCTGAAAAGTTTTGGATCCGATCTGCTTTGGATTTGATTGGCAGGGCCATGACCATTTCGATGTCTCCACCAGGCCTTTTTTTAACTTCTGGATATTCGCCTTTGGGGACGTCTTTATTGGCTCCGTGCAAACCAAAGCGGCTCAAGGCAAACCAAAGCGGCTCAAGGTGCTGCCCACGGATATAGTTCTTCGTGTGCAGAAGGCCCTTGTAACGTTTTGTACTGGGCCATGCCGCTGTCGCAGGCGCAGATTCAAAGGTTGAAACAGGGAGCATGCAAAACCGCATGGGTGAGGAAAACCGTCCATCGTGCAATGGGGTTTGTCGGAAAGGGCGTGGGACTGCACGAGCTTTTGTGCGGGCCAGGGAACGGAGGAAGAGGGCGGCTTCTGTACTCCACCCCCCCCTGTTCGACGCCCAGGACGACCAGCTGCTGCAACATTGGCAGGCTGTCTGTCCAGGAACAGGGGCATGTGCTGCAGGAAACGATGGGGAAGGTGGTTGGTTCAAGGAACTTGGATTGGACAAGTGGTGATGGCTGTCTCGTGCTGTTGTGAAGGTGGGGTGTCACACGCGGTGGAAACATACGGAGCAAATTCGCGGGCTGGCTGTGGCGAGCGAGATGGCTTGCAGCCCTTGCGGGAGGTGCTGGAGAAGAGGGGCGTGTTGTGCCGAGATTTGGTCAAATGAGCATGGATGTGTTCAGGACTGCCGATGGGTGCGTGCAACACGGTGAGGTCCCAGACCTGCGCCACGCAGTTCCACACTTGCGTGAAACCCTGTCCAATTCGTTTTGTCCACGAGGGCTGGCACCGAAGCAAAAGTTTTGCGGTGATCTTGTCGAATGAATTTAGATGTTGGCCTATCGCGGGCAGCCATGCTGCATCATTGGGGGGCATCCGTTTTCAACAGTCCAATGTCTTCACTTTTTGCGCCCTTGTGTTGCCATCGGGGCCCTATTTGGAGCTAGGTCTTGGCATCGTTCGACAGAATGCCACTTTTGCGGGGATCCAGGGGCGCAAGGGGTAGACTTTCCAGGCCATGCCAACCAATTCAGAGGCTGCAGTCGTGTCGAGCGCTCGTTTTCCACCCCCCGTCTTTGCTGTCTAAGCGTTTCAGCCGAAAGTGCCGGGATTGAAGCCAGTGACTTCGTTCGCACTACTGGCGCCAAGCCCTGTGCCCATACAAGCTCCCATAGGCAGTTCCAGACAGAAAATACATGCCAAGACCACCTCATCCAGCCATAAAACGTGTCCACGTCGTAGATGTTGTGGCGCACGTCGCGGGAAAACAATGCGGGAGCCTCACGGCCGCGGCACGATGAACGTGCACTTTTGCAGGCGGCAATTGCCCACGGTTTGGCATGCTGTACATCTGTGATGCATTTGGGAGGGCACCTGTTGGTAGACCCCAGTCCATTCAGGATTCTACACTTTCGGAATTTGGTCGATTCAGGCAGGCTGGCTGCAAGCCGGCATCAGTGGCCACAATTACCAGGTTCATTTGTCAATTTTGCTTTGCGCCGGCAATGAAATACTTTTAATGCGGTGTAAGGGATCTTTTCACCGCCTGTGGCCTACAGGGGCCCGCCGAATGACACCCAGGCACGAAATGAAATGAAACTAAATTCGGAAGGCTGCACTATGTCAGACAAATAAGTGTGATGATGGTTTATCTACGATTTCTGAGCATGAAGGCTGTCCCAGCGGGTCTGTTGTGCGCCTGGCGTTTTTCCCCCGCGCCCCGAATTTTGCAGCTTTGTATAAGTGATGCAGCGTCCAACCGGCAAACACGCTTGTTAAAAGAAATTCGCACCGTCGACTGTTCCACGTTTGTCGTCCAGAGCTTGCAACTGTTCTTTCTGTGTCGTTTCGGCATCTTTCTGCAACTTGCTGGTGAAGAACACCAAGGGCAGCCAGCCAAGTCAAAGCCAGGCAACGTCTGGTCGAGAGATGGGTGCGGCTGCGCGGTCCATGAACCGCACCAATCAACCGACACGGTGGTTGAATCTTGTGCGCGAACACTGCCCTGTGCGACACGCGGCCGCCAAGTCTTCTGGGGCTGCGCACACAGCCAACAAAAAACACACATTTCTGGGAACACCCACCCCAAAGTTGAAGCCACTCCTCCGCCCACCCCATAACAAACACAAAGAATGCACCAACAAATGACCAATGCCACTGCCAGAACTTTTGTTTGATCGTGTTCGGGAATGGACAATAAGGCAGCTGCATTGGGCGCGGTGCATTGCAGCCCCTGGCAAAGTCAAGGAAACGGTGCCCAAGCGCGTCAGGTGGGAGCACCTCAAGCCTCAAGTTTGCCAGTGGCCAAAATCTCCAACTGCCAGACTGCATGCCACGCCGCGAGGCAAGGAAACGGTGCATTCACAAAATTGGCGACCATCAACCTGAAGAAGCGACGAGGCAACAGCGGTTTTAAAGCTTTGTGCTCTGCTTTGGGGCATGGGTGTGCTGCACGGCAAATGCCATTGAGCCCTGCGAAACCCCGCCACCAGCGGCGAATGCTTTTGCCGGAACCGTTGGCAAACGACCTCGGCGCAGTGTCCAAGTTGAAATTGAGGGGGTGCAAACACTGTTTGGTACCAGGCATGCACTTTTGCATGCCTGCCTTTAAAATTCGTTTGTGGCACAAGGATGCCAACTTGTGCCCTTTTGATCAAACTGGACGGACTGCCACATGAAGATCAGGAACTTTAGCAGTCCCGGGACATCCATTCCAATGAAGTTGAGGTGCAGGCCGGGGTCACGAAAAAACACCGCTTCATGTCAGATCCGGCCTGAGTTGCATTTGCCATTTGGCACGCCGCAAGCGAAACTGAAAACATTGGCTTGGCAAGCTGACGCCAGCACAGCAATTGGAAGAGAGAAGGCTTGCGCCGTTATGTTGGGCAAAACTAGCACTTTTATTCACTCAAACCCTCACCCTGCACGCAAAACACTGATGGGGACAAACATTCTGAAAACACACCACCGACAGAAAAGAACACTGAGGACCGGGACGGGCAATCATTTTTGCATTGCATGTTGCAAGTTGAAGTGCAATGCAACAAACCAAGAGATCCGCCGATTTCAGGCACAACTTTGAGTTGCAGCTGCGCGCCAAACACGCAAGCACCTCCCTAAGATCACTTTAACAAGAAACTGTTCGTGACCATGTTTTGCCAAAATGGCGTTCCTTTCGCACTGCGCAAAAACAATTGGAAATTGCGCGAAGAAGTTGACCAGAACAACACTGCGCCACAACAGAACAGTGGAACAACAACACAACGCCCCCAAGTTCACCAAAGGCACTTGGCATGACCAAGCCAGTGAAAACAAGGGAACTGCGAAAGTTGCAATGAACAAAACGAGCAGTTCCAAGCAACTCGGATGCGCAAATGAACCACAGCAGAAAACAATTGAACAAATGTCAAAGATACACAACAACGCTCCTTCCAAAAAGATTGCGGCTGCAAAAGAATCCGAATATGTGAAAACACACGGACAGCGCAGCAGTCTTTTTCTCAGTACCGCTCTCGAACCACAAGCCCAGCGTTGAGACTCTCAGCAATGCGTTCACGTAGCCAAAACAAGTCACAAGTCTCTGACTCCTGAGCTACACAGTCCAAAAACTAAAAAAGCTCTTCTAAGTACAGGAACCAGCTAAGAAATCTACAAAGACCACTCTGGTTGAGACTCTCCCAAGACCAAACAGCAAGGAGGAAGAACCCAAAACACAAAGAGGCACCACTCCTATGGCAAAATCAAATTCAAAATCACTAAGCAAAGCTACATGTAGGGAACCATACTGCTCACACACCAAACTTTTCACTACACGCTAGCTAAAGCTATTCTTCTTTCTATACATTCCATTCTTTTGTAATTTTTTTCTTCTTCTTCATGTGGAAAACTAAGCTCATCAACTAAACGCTCAACTAAGCCAAGCACGCCAAGCTCAATGAACTATGCACGCGAGTATTGAAGTCACAGGGATTGACTTCTTTTCACATCCTTTGATCAGAATCATCACTGGGACCCTTGAACGACAAACGTTCAAGAAGGTACCTGACAGGCAAGGATGCAGGTGAAAAACCTAAACCCTAAGCCTTACGCGATTTTCTAGAAAGTTCTGGAATTTCCAGGCGGCCCTAGGCGACACTGCGTTGCCGGAAATTTCCAGGTTTTTATCCCAGACATTGCATCATCAGCATCACAAGCTCTTCAACATTCACAAAAGTAGTGATGCCGTGAAACCAACAGCCTCCAGCAGAGTGATCAACATCCTGTCAGACATGCTTCATCTCCTTGTGACATAGTCACATCAGCATTGAAGAACATCGGAACATTCGAACAAAATGTCAACTACAAAAATGAGAAAAACTTCTCACCCACACAGGTCTCAACCCCTGATTCTGTTCAAGCGTTACAACCCGGTGCACTGTCTTCTGGGTTCAACCCTTGAAGCTTTCTCTGCCAGCATTGCGACGGCTTTTCATAGAAGTTGATTCGGAATGGCCTCACCAAGCGTTCATCCAAGCTGTGTAAACCCTCAAGGCAAGACACAAGATTCACGCGCACATGGTCTAACATTCACATTCACGTCAGAAACTCGTCAACACTCAACACAAAGAAAAGAAAGGAAAGAGAAACAGATAGTGACATAGTCTCAAATGCAAGTGCATTCCATTGACTTTAGTCATTACCAGACAACACTCTCAATCATCCACTTCAAGTTCAACCCCTCTCTCTCTTTCACCTTTCGAAAGGAAGATTGTTGATCAATCACTTGGCCTGCCTCCATCGGAGATGGAACTGGCGGCTGCTTTGGCGGTGGAACAGGTGGCTGCTTGGCCTCTGGTTGCCATCTGGGTGGCGGCCCTGGCGGCGGCTTTGGGCCGATAGGCCGAGATTTGGCTTTGATCGGTAGGATCGAAGGCGATCTTCGCTGCTTGACCGATTCGTCCAATCTCTTCCGGTTCTCCTCCGTCAGCTCGAGGACTGGCGGATCTTCGTTCTGGGTTGTTTCTGACGTCCATTCGGAAGTACTGGCATCGGTCATGCTTAGAGCTGAGTTGTCGGCTGGTCTCATCAGTCACCTGACCTGGGATGTAAACTTCACTTTCTCTTGAGGTCGCCGTTTCATAAAGAAAGCAGTCCCAGGTTTGATCTCTTGCTTCTTTACGAGGTGTGTGACTCTGCAAAATGTGCTTAGCTAGTCTGTTACCTCGCAATTCGATGGGATACTCGAACTCAGGCTCCGACTCAACGGTGCAAATGACTCCCTTTTTCATGCGCACGGGCGTCGAAGTGCTTCGAAAAATGCGCTGCTCTTATCGTTGGCTCTGCCTCCATTTTGGAGGTGGCGGCTTGAACATCCCATCCAAGACTTCGTCCGAAAACTTGGACAGGTGTTCGTGAAGATCCCTGCGGTAAGCCAGCTCCTCCTCTGTGATCGGCGCTTGAAGCGCCTCTGGAGCGTTGCTGGGTTCGCTGCTGAGGCAGCGGCAGTTGCTGGCGTTAACGTCACAGCTTCTGATGCCGCGGCCGGGGCTGGCGTCAATGTCACCGCTTCTGACGTCGGCTGATCGTCCGGCTGCAATTTTTTCCACGAGTACGGACGCCGTGTGGGCATGGTGCCCAGGTCATCATTGAAGGAAGGGAAATACAGTCAGATGGTGGAGAAAAGGACAAAGACGACCCAACAACACACCAAAAACAACCGCCAACCACAGCCCAAAGGCCAAGTCTCCACCATCCTGTAGTCTTTCCTCTGTGCTAAGGTGAAACAAGTGAAACGATGACTACTGACTATCGATGGGCCTGAATTCTCGAACGAAGAGCATAGCAGCGAGGGTTTATGCTCTAGCAAAATCTCCAAGAAGTCGTCAAATGGACTTCACATCACAATTACTAGTGACCAGCGGCCACTGCACGGTGTGGCAAAAACATGGTCACGATGCAGGTCCCGGGCATTGATATGCTCTACCGCAGGTTATATCCATATCAAAGTGTATCAGTGGTTGCTATGTAGATCATGCCGTGGAAAATACCTTTCTTGTAGCACAACCCATGCAACTGGTTGCACATACAAGTCAAGAGGCATAGTAGTAGGTAGTGTTCAGACAGTGGCGGCCATAGCAAACGACGAAAGCCTGCAGGTAAGGGTGCGAAAGGCTCACCCCCCCCGAAGGGAGGTCATCTCGGCACCCTTTGGCACACAGAGGTGCCAAAACGGGGTGTCCCCTAACTTCGAGAAGTGCTGCGTCATTGCAAAAATTGTTCTGTTGCGTTCAAGGCCCGTGTGAAACAGGTGAGACATTGAACCTATCCTAGCATGGTGTCTGTACCTCTTTGTACAAAATTGGAAATGTCGGACATCAACAAAGGGAACTAAGGTTCCCCCTGGGCATCCTCCATTGCCACTCTCTACCACCCGCCTGTTGGGAACGAGGAGCTAAGGCTCTCATTCCTATTGGCTCACTGTATTGCGAATGGCGAAAAGAGATTGGCGACCCTACTTAGCGTTTGCACTTTTCACTTGCCGTAGCTTCCTGGCGGTGTGCTTATACACCATTCCCGCTGCGAAAGCATTGCTGGTCTTTGGCGCAGGTTCTGGAAAGTCTTCTCTCCATAGATCACTGGCATCGGCCGGCAAAACTCGGTGCCATTCGGACTAAGTCGAGTTACCCACATTTGTCAAGGGCATATGTCCTTCGCCGTGTTTTGCTTTTTCTTTGTTTGCATATTGCTCGAAATTGCGTGCTACCTGCAAAAGCGCATGGCGCCATGTAAAGCAGGAGTGGAAGCCTCCTGTAGAGAGGTACACTTGAGGAAGGCTTCTTATGCCGTGATCCTCAGTTTGGGACGGATCAACAGTTTGAGCTGTTGGCGGCTCGCACAGTCTGTGGAGCCTATCCTGTTAAAGTCTGTCGGCAAGGCAAGTGCGACAATGCCCGCCTCCAGCAAGCAGCAGTCCGGCAAGCATCGGTTCGGGTGCGCTGCATCCGGCACTGGCCGCGCCGTTTGCTAGGGCATCGAGCTGTGCCCTCCCTTGTCACGGAGCGACACTATTCGGATGCTTTAGTGCCGAAATGCTTGCAACCGAAGCTAGCTCTACTCGTGGAATTTGGCCTACTGTGGCTTCTGGCCTACTCTGGACTCGAGCTAAGGCGCGCGCCCAGACTCTTGATGAGTGACAGTGAGACTGCGATAGCTGTGGTCAGAGAGGCATGTCTTCATCCAAGACCAGGGGTATATCCCATGTCCGGGATCATATGCAGCCAGGGTGGCCACCTCATATCTGGACAAATGGCAAAAGCATTCTCTTCAGCATAGACTCCTCGCCATTTGTGCCTTCCTGGCATCTTGGCGAGCCTCTTAAAGGCAGTGCAATCCAAGAAGGCCCTACTCGCTCTTGCATTGATCCTGGATGGTCAGGTGGTGTCTCGGGGTTCCTGCAAACGGGAGCCTCCTGCCTTTGAGTATTCCGACTGGCCAGGTCTGCCAGTGTAGCCGGTGGTTGTTCATGTTCAGGGATGCTGCCGAGCGGTTGCTTGGATGCTGGAGCAAGTGATTGCCGTAGCTTCTTGGACTGAGCTCTCCCTGCACTAGCCTTAGACCCCGGTCTTCGTTTGATTGGGGACTCAGAGAAGTGCGATGTGGGGCTGCTACCTTGGGGGTCCACGCCCTGCGCGGGTAGCGTACTCCTTGCCTCATCTTCTGCTGCCGGCATTTCGTCTTGTGCTGGACGTGCTTCAGGAGAGTCCGGACGATTGCTAAGGCAATCACCCTCATCTGCACAGGAGGTGGTAGCACTGTCACCGTCTTCCACGCGCGCGTCGTCTTCCTCCGGCTGCTCTGCGCTCGGGATGGTAGGCGACTCTGAGGAGGAGCTGTGGACAGAGACTGCTTCATTTGCTTCTTCGTCGGCCATCGTGGCATCTGTCGCCGCAGGAGAGGACAGGGGCTGTCCCGCTTGCACTTCATGTTCCTCCTTTTCTGTGTCACGGTCAGAGACAGAGAGGACATCAGGTGTTGCACTTGGCTGAGGCCAATAACAGCCATGCACTAAAAGGCCCGGTTGCGGTGGCAGGACGAGTTCAGACCCGGGGGCAT